ACATGGTGCAATTCCAACCAAGGGGATAAAGTTGGGTTTTATCGTCTCGTGAATTCGAGACAAATGCATTTTATCGACTGACGTTGGTCGGAATCGAGGGAATTGGCTCGATGAGCGAGCATTTGCGTCGAATTGTAAACCAGTTTGCAATTAATAACAAAACAGAAAATAATTACAAAAATGCGATCATTATAATGAAATAAATGAGATTCCACGACCTTCAAATTTCTGTAATGGACACGTTGAACGTACAACATTAGTAAAGGTTGTAGTAAAACAAGGCCGAGGATGCAGTATCTTCGTGGAACTTCACGTAATTATTGTACCGAGTAATTTTACTTTTATTATTAAACCCGAAAAAAGTTCGAAAATGTTGCCTTAATGCCTTCGTCCGGAGTGATAGGATGTTCCGACCATAGATATATAAGTGGTTCCGACGCCAGAAGAGCCTGATCTGCGCATGGCTATTTGGGTGTAACATAGCATTCAATTTGTCATATTTTTTAGTGCGCAGCTTGTTGTCAAAAACTATCGATAGGAAACTATCGATAGAAAACTTTGTTGAGAAAATGACGTTTTTCAATAGAATCACTTGCCTAGAGTTTTGATTTTTCGATTATTATCAGTAAAGTTTTTCTACGTCAACACAGTGGCAGTGATGTAGCCAGCCAATTCATATTTCCTTCATTGCAAGCATGTCTGCGCTGGCCAGTTCATGCTTCCTGCATTGCAAGCATGTCTGCGCTAATTGCTTAAAACAATTCTAAGAAATGAATAATGAACGATAACGCTTTGAATGATAACCAACATGTCAGGAATCTCAGGATTGAAACTGGCTTCGCCACTAATAAAGTCCGGCTCATGATGTGAGCCTAAAGCTATGTGGAAACGCGCTCAACATGTTGACTCAACATTGTCTTGCTCTTGTTGTGTGATGTTTAGCGATGTGTGCAAACGCTCTCAACGTGTTGATATGAGATGAAATATTTCACGATGCCTAGCAACGGTGGGAACTATATACATACATATACAGTTCAGTGACGCCATTTTTACATGATTTTTACCATCATATACGCCGCACAGTACGCATGCGTTAGCTTGACATTCTCGAGCGAGCAATGCAAACCAATGGCGCAAACGCACTAAACAATGTTTAAACACGCATCGATGAGCGCGGAACGAAGAAAAATTGAGCGCCGTTGAGTCAAATGTTTAAACAAGTTCAAACTTCTCTCAACGCCGCTCAACACCTATCAACAAGTTATGCAAATGCGCTCAACATATTGAGTCTACAATGTTGAGTGACTTGGGCATGTCCCTTGCACGAGGGGATTAACGTGAAATATTTCGTCAATGGAATCATAAAATCCGATTGTGAAACATTTTAAATACGTTTTATCACGAGTAACCAATGCTCAAAGCGTGAAGTAAACAATTGCAATAAAATCTTGCAACAAAATATCTAAAGAAATGTAATAAAAGACAAATATATCAAGGGTTTAAAAATTGCATCTATTATAAAAAAAACAAGCGCAGAACAAAAATGGTCTTTTTCTACCTGAAGACGAGCAGGTTTTGCTTTTTCTATGCGTTGAAACACATTGACACAGGTTCATGATATTCAAATTGTTGTACACAAAACAATTGCAAAACCTTTGATGCATGATTTGTCTTGACTTTTATAGACATGTTTCCGCCTTTTGACGATTTTTCAAGAGATAATTCTCGTGGATTTTGAAAAATAAACACCATTTCTTAAATACGATGCACTTCATATACTTACATTTTCTGCTCCAAGATTTAACGGCATTCGTTGATTCACATTGAGCACATTGTGACATTTGATTGATGATAATAAGCTTAATTTTGGATTTCAAAGAAGATCAATGAACTTACACCTTCCAGTCCATCAAATTCATCAACTCGTTTAGCCACCAGATTTGTCAGATGATCTTCTTCGTCTGACAACATGTTTGTCGTCCACAACAGAAATAGTTCACGGAGCTTAGATTTCCTGCTAACTCTTTCCAAGGGTGAATCTAAAACTGCATAAGTTAGCATGGCGATTTGATAAAAAAAATGAATTTATTAGTCTAACACTATTCGATCAAAGCTTAGAATACCTTTTGCAGTTACATTTTGGAACAATGTAAGTCTGTAAGATGATTTACGCGGAATGCCTAAAAAATGATACTTAAAATGTGAGAGTCGTACAGGTTTTTATGTAATTATACCAAATTGAAAAGATCGAGATGATTCAATTGGATATCTTGAAAGAACAGCTTAAATAAACCAATCGAGAAATCCAGAGTGAATGATTGTTTGTGTTTGTAATTTATTTTAAAAAGAATCGAAAGAAGATTAAGGACATTGGATCTGAATGAATAGTCTAAAAATGATGAATAAGTTTACCACTTGTGGTGACACTATGTTATACTTGACAAAAAATAACACAATGATTTTTAGCAAAGCTCATTGCTATTGGAATAGCTTATCATAATATCATGATTAGTGAAAGATTATCAAATACGGCAACGGCATCATTTGAAAACAATCTTCTACGTAACACAACATCGACGACAGTTAGCTTTTTCAAAAACAAACACAAAGATCCGCTCAATGCCAGACTAACATATCACAAAATGGGAAGCATCTTTAGCTTTTACACTCCACAATAAGTTCATCTTTCCGATACATTTGACTAAAATTAGTGTGCAACTTTTCACAACACGTCTGAAACTAAAGCACGCATAAAGAGAAATGTAATCGAAGCAAGAAGAGCAGGTGCTGATTAAAAAATATGGAAGGCACTTTATTTTCTTTTTAATCCTCGTAGGTGTAGATTTTGCTTTGAAAATATGTAGCAATTCGACGGCCAACTTACCTCAAAGCAAAGTCTATAAAAACTATGCGATCTTTTTTCTGAAACATCTTTGCACCTCCTTGTGCGCGTCCTGTCGACAAGCATCACACATTCACAATTATGCGAAATTATTCAAATGTATGAAGACAGAACCAGCCAATGCAAATGGACGTAGAAACAAAAAACAGAAAGTACTGGCAAAACATCAAAGATGATCAAGAACACATAAAATACAAGAAAAGCTCAAATTAACTCTACCCACATACCCTATACTGTGGTGAAAGATAAGTACAATATAGAAAAAAAGTAGTAAATATAGCTCGGTGAATGTTCTGCTTATCTTATAATCAAATTTCTTTTACAAGTTTCAAGGCTCAAGCCATATCAAATACGATATTAAGTTAGGCATATGTCAAGTACCCGACGACTGATGAAATGATGTAAAGTATGTTAACAACAGCGTAAAAAATTTCACAATAAGATTGTGCAATGTTGTCGAAAAGTTACAAAACACAATATAATACAGTGGTAAACAACGTAAACAAACGTTGATTCTCTTATTTTCTCAGACACTAAATTGCTTCAGTTGCTTGGTTGTTTTTAGCAAGAGCAAGTATTTTTAATATGCTATAATTTTCCAAACATAGCAACTAATGTTTAAATGTCTTTACAAATGTAGATGAAGATATCGCTGGCACTTGGTGTCCTCCGTGTTCACTCGTCTTCCCCTACATCGTCCAGTTTTAAATCAATATATGCATATTACATGCACTGTTTAAAATTTATACGACAGTGCTTTTATAAGTACTTTATGATACTGACAAACTTGTGCTTTGTTCTCAGCTTAGAAAAGCAGACACGATGACCAGGGTAAGTGCTAGAACGTGAATTGATGGGCTTATATTCAATTTATGTAGCCATTTACTTTCAAAAAAAAACAAGTCTGGCGCAACTGATTGTTTGAACAAATGCCCTCCCCCATTCCCCATCAACGTTTTAGCGCTGTGTCAACTTATAGCACAGGTTGACACTATAAAAGAGTGTATGGTCTAGTATGGATCACAACGAGAATGTAAGGATCATTGTGATCGTTCATTATGAAACAGTGTATGGATCACAATGAGAACGTAAGGATCACCGTGATCTTTACCTACGCAACAGTGTATGGATCACAATGGGAACGTAAGGATCACCGTGATCTTTACCTACGCAACAGTGTATGGATCACAGTGGGAACGTAAGGATCACCGTGATCTTTACCTACGCAAACAATGCATGGAAAACAATCACGCGTACGGATCACAATATGGAGTTTAACTGATGTCCATACCTTGTTCCCAAAAGTTTTTGTTTCGAAAGACTTCTTCAAACCACTAGATGATATCTGAATCAAAGAAAACACAAAATTTTACACAAGCATATATTTCAGCGACAGCAAACATTTTGGCATTTTTAGTTTTCTCACTTTTGTAGCTCAAGCCTCTGCTGATTTTGATCTACCACAAAATTTTCTCTCTAGAGGAAATTATAATTTCATTCACGGTCAAAAAATTACATAAGACTTATTGCTAAAATAACACACGAGTGCAAATTCTAAACGTCAAATGTTGCCAAGATCTCTAATTTTTTCTATCCACTTAAAGTTTGCGCGTTGATGAAAGTTTATTAGGCGTCCAACTAAACCGTTCACCATCCATTATAGAAATAACGTCTCGGCTTTCACTTTGATTTCAAAATGAAATATCATGCAGCTAATAGATTTCCATTATAAAGAAGCACTTGTTTGCTAAAGTATTAAGGTTAAGATTAACTCACGCAAAAAGTGTTTGTTTACAACAGATATTGAAGTCAATTTGGAAAGTAACATTTTAACTTCACTTTCAGCAATAAAATCTCGCCTTCTTAATTGCACCACTTTAAACTACACAGTGTCCTAAAAGTTCAAAGTTGCTCCCAATTTTAAGAAGAGAAAGATAAAAATGCCAGTTTTTCCAGGCATAAAGTCATTCTTGACAACGGACCGTTCCAGTATAACCAAACAAGAAACAGCAAGAATACGACGAATACGTTTGAATAAAAGTGAACTTCTGAGAGAGAATCTTGCAGATAGACTGAAATGTCCGTTATTTTTGTATACCATGTTTACTGGCCGTTACTTTCGCGTCTGTGGCAATTCTGATGTACGTTACACTTCCTTATATACAAGGTGAGTGAGTCTTTCATTAACATTGCAGCAATACATAATTTCGACATAACTTGAAATGGAGTAAAATTTCTAATGACGACCAACATGATCAAAATCGCTTTAACAACCTGCAGGTTTAAGCTACAAAGCGACAGAATGTCGAGTCGAAAAAGTCGAGATCTTCGAAAAAGGAAGTTGCAGCATTTCAACCGAACACTTTAGTCCATGCTACAGAATTCTGGTGAGTGAAATGCTCTTTGACCTGGCTGAGACGAAACACAACAATGTCCTCGTTTTGTTTCCGAACATCGTAAAATATCTCTATGTATCTAAGACAACATTCAAATATGATCTCGACGTCATTTGCAGGTGAAATACAACACGACAAGTGGGTACAGTCGCTCTGTTTTGATGGAAAACGAACAAACTTTATACCATTGTGAAAAGGTAATGCAAGCGAACATTACAGGCGGTGGCTGATAGCTAATTACGGGGTCTGTAGGCTAAGACAAAGTTAAGGGCCTTTAAACGATACCTATTCCTTCCACTAAGTTCAGTTTTCCTTCACTTTTGCACCCCATAGGTTAAAAAATGGGAAAGGTTAATTTTAAATTTAAAACGAACTTTCAAAAATCATTGACATGGTCAGGGAAATAGCAAAAGCCAATACTTCATAAGTTCTGAGCATTGCGCATTTGAACAGTAGATAGCACTAAAGCCATCGGTTTTCAACAGCATGAATGATATAAGTTAAGCAGATTTAGCTAGCCCAGAATAGAAAAAAGTTCAAATCCAAATTCTGTCCAGTTACAAAGGGCGTTTCGAAAGCCCAGGCCTGTAGGCTAAAACCTACTCAGCCTACTGGATAATCCGCTCCTGATTACAGGTACTGGACAATCTCTTTTCAATTAAAAATAGTATGAAATTTTGAGGAGTGTATATAATGGTATGCAGTATTGGTTGTTTATTTGTTGATAAAAATTAACAAAAAGGATGTCTTCGATTTTATTGTTAGTGCTCTTATACGTTTGGAAAAGGGAGCATGTTTCAAAAATCTGCCGTATGCAAAAATCCCATGAAGTGTCTGACATCTTTCGACAACCATTTTGGAAAGGTGATCAGCTTGATTGATTTTATAAACCCGTTGATTTAGTTAGGGGTCTGAACCAATGGAAAATCGCATTTTCTTTTTGCAGATTGACCAAAAATTTTCATGTTTTTACAATACAAAGAGCTTGCAAGATGTTTTCAAAGAATTCAAGGTAAAACGAAATTCACATGAGCTCGTAATTCGGATAATAACAAGCAAATTGATACATTGACCTTAGATGTTGAGTTTTTTTTGTCAAAGAAGGCTAAAGTTTTGCGAAAGGATGAGGAGTTAAGAGTTGACAAATTTGCATAACTCCAGCATGCAGAAAAGAATAGTTCAGACAGTTCTGCTGCATTACTTTGACAAAAAATTACTGCAATAGACATCACAAACTTCTGCAAAACTTGTGAGCCCCCTCAGTAACATTTCTCACACCCCCTCCGTGATCTACATCTATATGAGGGTAATTGGTTACTAACGGTTAAGCTGGATGCTGCTTTTGATTTAAGTGGAGAGTTTTGGTGTTATGATGAATTCTTGTTAAATGAAAAACTCAGCCAACTGAAGAAGTTTTTTCGCTTTCAGATTTCCCGGGTTGATGCAATCTACCAAACATTTTTACCTCTCATGTTCATGTTTCTTTACGTAATCGCCTATTTGTTCGTGCAGTACGACAACAATAAGAGACGGTAAGTAGTAAGAGACGAACAAAGATGGATTAGTGGGAAATTTCGTAATTACATTAGATAACGATGAATTTCAAGAGTAATGTTACGTTAAATCGATTTGATATCTTTCAGTAAATTGAACGAGTGTATTGAATCCCGAGGACAACATACACCAACAAAAAGACCCCGTCAAACTCACCCGAATGATATCCCATCATGCACCACGGAAAGCTCCGACTCACATTCGTCCCCAGACTCCTCAACAACGATGTACCGAGTTCGAAACAAACAGCTTCCTTGCACCAAACATCATGTGCTGAACACACGTGATATGGAAGATGTCATTATGGAACAGAAACCCGTATCGCCAACATACCATTCGACACGTCAGCATGGCGTGCACGACCACTACGTGCAAGTGAACGTGAACAGCTGTTGTAAAAGATGCACATACGCATGTCACACTTTATATAGTAACCATTTTGAGTTGAGTCGTGATAAGGAGAGATTCAGACCAGTTCAGGTGAACCAATTTAACCATCACGACTACCTTCAAAGATCACGAAGAGCATTCAGATACTTACCAGAATCGGCAGTTTAGGACAGGCTGTTGGGCTGTTTTTACGGAAAATCACTGATCTCCGTCAAAACTTCAATAATTTTTTTTCGCAAAAAAAACTTCTTGTATTTGTAAATAACCTTTTCATTGTCATGTTGAAATTGCAGTCTTTGCTCGATTCCTTTCCAATTCGTATACATAGTAGTTCATACTTGTGTACAATGGCGTAGCTAGCCAACAAGTTTGCTCAGGCTATGTAAATACTTAGGTGTTCAGTAACTGCAAAAACGTAATTGAAAAATTCACAAAGCATGGACATATGACTTGGCACAGAAAAGTTTCTGTGACAAGCTATTGAACAAAATTCCTTATCCAAAAAAGTTACCATCGTTGTTTTTAAGCAGGAATGATTGTATTCTTTCAAATACTTACGTAATTAGCTACTGAAATGTTTACATAATTAGCTACTGAAATGTTCACGTAATTAGCTACTGAAATGTTTACGTAATTAGTTACTGAAATGCTGACGTAATTAGCTACCGAAATGTTTACGTAATTAGTTACTGAAATGCTGACGTAATTAGCTACCGAAATGTTTACGTAATTAGCTACTGAAATGCTGACGTGAACAGCGACTGAACAAAGTTTCTAGGCAAATCAGCAATTGACTATGAAAGCAATACGACGCACTTGAATTTTCTTCATAAAGTGTTGCTCTACCTTTGAGATGAACCAGGTTTGCGAAATATGAAACGTACGTCACAATGCTCAACGCATCGCACATGGGATTACACATGCCAGGAGCATCGAGGATCTGAAGGATTAAAATAGTACATTACTTGAGCCCAAAAGTCGCAGACGTCATATCTGCCATGTAGATAATGATCTTCCCAGGAGAGTCTGCATATAGGTGAATGTATATACGGCAACGCTATGAAACAAGAATACCTTAAGGACTCCTACCCTTAGTTCCTCAATCGATTGAAATACTTGTTGAAGCAGATAAACATTTTTTAGCGAGTGCATTTGCTTAACATTGATCACACAAAGTGCCCTAAATCTATAAAAGATGACACTTTGTGTTGTCTAGTAGATTTATTGAAACTTTTCAGGGTAGAAAATAATTTTTAAATGGCTTTCACCTGAATAGCTATGACTTTATCAATATTTATAAGTTGTCACTCGTACTTAGATCAGCTTTAAGATTTTACCGTGTATCTGATCAGTTCAATCACTAGAATCGTTTTGGAGATCAATATTCCATAAAAATTATTTGCATTACAGAAATGATCACGCAAATGTAAATTGCACGAGAGTGCGAAAAATATAAATGAATTTGTGCACCCCATTCATTTTCAACACATCGACCTCAACCATAAATGGTAACAGAAATTTTAATGAAAACTAAACGTGGTCACCTTTCTTGCTGTCATTTATTGCGAATTTCAATGAGCACTATCAATTGTCAGTTTCTAGACCTTCAAATGTATCATTCGGTTATCAAAAAAGATGTTCACGAACGAAAGCAATTGTTAGTAGTTGTTGATGGCCGCCATTTTGGATAATCAATTATCAATTTTTCATAATATTTTTTTATAAGTCATTTCGTTCAACATCATTTTCGTTTTGAAAAACTAAAATTGCTTAAAAAGAGTTGACAACGTTAGATAGTTATACTTACTTGTGGAACACCAAGATATTATCTATCGCTTTTTTGGAATTGTTTATGTTATGGCATCATTCAGGATTCAAGCAAATTGGATCCAAGTCTTTAAGATTCGCGTCTGGGTATAGGCCTGGGGCTAGGTTACACGAAGCCTGGATAGCGTTATCCATTGGATGGTAAAATTTTCAAACTTGTAAAAAAGATGTTTATATTTTCATTACGACAAAGAAATTTAGTAATCTTAGAAGCAATATTTCATTTCAGCGATTGCTCAGTTCAAATTGTATATTTTCCCCTTTAAGACGTTTTTTAAACGTATAAAAAAATTGCTATCCAGTGGATAGCGCTATTCGACCTTCGTGTAACTGGCCCCTGGTACAAAAGCATCATCAACCAGTGCTGCGATAGCACGTCCAACATTCCAATCGGTTGTAATATCGTTCATTGGAATTCAGTCAATAAATACGTTCGCTCTCAATGAATTTCAATGCAACGTTCTCGAGCTTGCGAGACTTCAATTTAGGCTTTTTCTCATACTTATCAACTCGTGTAACAACACTTCCAGTAGTACAATCAGCTTCAAACCATCGCACAGATCCTTCTCTAAATCATGTAAAATAATTGCACAATCTTGTAAACGTTCTTTTTTGAACTACCCTCCATTCAGAATCTGCTGAAATCGCATCAGAACCCCATGTCATTTTTGTCGAGTTTAAAAGAATAAAAATGCACTTAAAGCGATTGTAAAACGGTAACTTCAGTCAGAGATTCCTCGACATTAGATATTCTTGACTTGCAATTGAGCCATGTTGGAGGTATGATACAAAAGAATATTTTATCAGTGTTATTGTTGGCACCAGCCGACGTGGGCGAGTGACATTGTTTGGTAAATTTCGAGAGAACGGTTGCAAGTCAAGAATATATGAGTCTTGATACAGTAGATAATCAATTTATCAAGTTCTTTCGAAACACAAGAAAAACTTGTCTCACAGATGCTTTCTATCTCAGCCGTGATGAAGACGTGAAAAATCCAAAAACTTTGGCGAAGAACACAACTTCGAGTTAAGATCACCAGTCAGTCATATGAACTTACTTGTATCTCAAAGATCTGTTTATGACCGTCTTTTCATGTATAAAATGCAAATTGAACGTACCATGAAAGAAGTGCCGAGTGTCGTTATTCAAGAAAATATCTTTGTTCAATACGTCCAGTGATTTCTATTACTTTCTAAGCAGTTTTTTAAGAGGGAATATTGATAACTCTTCAGGAAAAATTGGGGTTGATAAATGGAATTTATTTTTGGAAATCAACTTGGAAGACATTGTTTGTCTATTCCTATCCATAAAAAAGGCATCATTGTTCCAAAAGGCCGTTTGTCCAATAAGCACAATTTATTTTAAGCCTCTGGAAATTTAAATAGGCTTCGAATTGTACGGGTGAAATGCAAATAATCACGATTACATGCTTCTCAAATGCCACGGGGAAAGGTTCTTACCGAATGGTCAAATAGCGGATCATTTTAATGAAAAAATTACTATAGTAAATATACAATTTGAAAAATATAATATGCAAGCTTTAGTACATATCCTTAAAATTAAATAAACGGTACAAATCGTGTTTGCACTTGAATGTTAAACTTATCAAAATAACGTGACGACCCAAATGTATATCCAAACGAGCCACCAACTCCAATTGAATATATACAGTCAGCGTTTTATTGATGTAAGTAGACCGTTGCGATTCTCGACTTTATAAGATGGACAATAGACTTTGTAAGCAATGCTGGGTTCTTGAGTTTTGCTCATTATTTTTTCTATTTCCCATCATTAGAAAAGTCAAGGAGACAAGCGACGCCAAAACAGAGCCCTGTATTAGGAGAGTTGGGACCCCGGAAGTAAAATTGCTAAGTTTCCGCCATTTTTGTTCCAAAGACAGCAAATATAGAGCATTAAATGGCGGGAAAGACAAATTTTCTGTTGTGTTTTCTAATTCATGAATGGACAGCGATCCCAGTTGTTTGAAACTCAGTTGTTTATAGATGTCATAATAATAGAAAAGCATTTATTTCATGCAGTAGATGTAATTTATACGCCTTTAATGTTGTTTTTGCCACAAGGGAGCGCGTATGTTTCTATTCTTCATCGCTTTCATTGGCACTATTATAATGCAACATAAAATCATTGAAAACATTTTTCTATAATTTATTTCCTATGTAAAAAATGGTCATAATCTGCACTTTGGGGCAAAAATGGCGGCTAGATGCCCACGTGACCATATCTACCCAATCACCATGATCATAATCCAAAATGCAGAGAACAACACGTGTCCCAACTCTTACAAATACAGGGCTCTGCACCAGAATGCAACGTTACCTTGTTGAGTTTTGCTCATTTTTTCCCCATTTCCCATCATTTGAAAAGTCAAGGAGACACGTGATGCCAAATTGCAACGTTACGTTGTTGAGTTTTGATTATTGTTTTTTCTATTTCCCATTACTCGAAACGTCAAAGAGACAATTAATGCCAGGATAAGATAAAACATGGCAGTTAAGAAGTATTTCTAAAAGAAAAAGAATTATTCGTTTTGTATAACCCTATCTGTTTAGCGAGGTTCTGTTGCGAAAAGTAATTTGGGGGAGGGGGGGGGGGGTTACCTTCATATAAGCATGTTGTAATCCGTAAAAAACAATGGACTTTACAGGAGCTTAAGACGGCAGATGATGTGTATATGAATATAACCCCCCCCCCCAATTATCGATCTTCCCACTTTCCTATCACAGCATAGTGAACACACAGTAGAGCCACTCCATTGAATTTTTTCGTGCCACGCATATCTTATTGCGCACTATGATTACTTTAATCGAACAAATCAATTCCCTTTTTTGGACCAATAGGAATGATGAAATGGCTAACGGTGGCCAACTATCCAATTAAATGTAAAGCAACCAGTTGCACAGGGAAGCAGACCTACTGTGTATTCCCTATACTGTGGTCCCAAGTAGAAATAATCTCTTACTGTTGCGGTTTTTGTTACATATTTGAGACACTGGCGTAGCCAATCGGCAAGTTTTAGTCCTGCTGTACGAATTTCAGAGCGTTAAGAATTTTTTATTTCTTTTGAAAATTATGGTTCTCAAGGTGAGTGATCACAGAAGAATTCGCTTGACAGGAGTAAATATGCGGCTTGGCTACGCCACTGAAATTATCCAAGGTGATCGGAGTGATCCAGTAAAAATAATCTCTTGCTCATCCAATAAACGCTACCGAAGGAGGAGATATATTAACTGAAACAACTGATCCTAAATTAATAACTATTACACCACTGAACTTTTCTTTCAAGTGATACATTAAGGATAGTTTATCTTAGTAAATGCAGTAAAAAAATCTTAACCAAATGAGCAAAGGTCAAAATAATAGAAACTTGTCGCGCATCTTGGTCTCACCGTATAAGAACTTTGCTCATCTATATTATCGACTCCTTTTGCACTTTCGTTAGTTCGATGAAGATCTTCATTGTCACCAGACCCATAATCTTCAGGTACCTACACACGACGACAGAAGATAAACGCATTTTCGACATAGAGCATCGCTAGAAGAAAAACCACGACATACCTCGTTAAGAGATGAACTCGTTGAATTGTTAGCGTGATTTGATTGAACTACATCGAGCCTCTCGCGTTCGGACGCTAATCGTTTCTTTTCTTTCTTCGACCTACATATCCAAAGAAACAGCAATAAATTGGCAAGTGATGCAAAAAAACGACGACAAAAATATGTCATGACGTGTAAGACAAGACGAAAAATAAGTAACTCGTAAAGTACACGACTTGCATATACAGCGAGATTTTAAACTTGGATGCAAGGATAGTTCAAAATATAAAAAAAAAACACTGCCTTTTGACTCGTAGTTTGAATCAACCATAAAATGTTTCATACATTTATTTCATTTTCCCATTAACTTCCATTTCATTTTGATTTATTCATCATTACGTAAACATCCGTTGACTTTCATGGTAAATTGAAACATTTTAGATAAAACCTGTTACAAGTTGGAGTCTAAACAACCAGTTGTTGTTTTTTGCCTAATGCCTACTTTATTTTTTAGGCTTGGTGGAGCGCTTATCCGTTGAAAACGAAACGAGTCGCTCATCAAAACATATTTGGGGGGTGGGGGTAGGCACATGAAACAGCAAACTCTTTTCGATAAGTCAAAGTCACCCGGAAACTTTGCATTAAAAACAAACTATCTTACCACTTCAATTCGCTCTCGAGTGTTTGGACTTTTTGTAGAAGGAACTTGTTCTCCTCTTGCAGTGTCTTTAATTGAACTGAAACAGTGAATTGAGCGGTTGGTTTAGGCAGAAGTAGCACAAACCATGAGTAACTAGATTAAACTGGTTTATGAACAAAAAATAGCTTAATTGCCTTTGTAAACAGTGGCAGACACTAAATGAAATATTGGGGAGAGGGGGCTCGTCTCAAGACATGAGATTTCTAGGGAGATCGCGGAGCATGCCCATAGGCATACTTTTCAAATTTGATCTCTAGAAATTTAATATAAGGATTCCTACACATAATCCAACACACACAAGGTTTAATGCATCTGCTGGTACGTGTGCACTACAAATAGTCATTATTTAACATCACATTTATGTGATGTAGGTGTGACTTGAAGAAATTGGAGTAAAATTTCAAAATTATTGGGGAGCTCAAACCCCCTGCCCCCCGGGCTTGTGTCCGCTACTGCTTGTAAACAGCAAAACGAATCTAAAAGCAAACTGACTACATGATGATCGACGACAATGTCAGTGTCGTCCATAGGAATGTTGGTGATTCAGTGAATGATTTTCGACAACGGCAGGCCGGTCGTCTCAAGAAATGTTGCTGATTGAGTGAATAAAAGACGTTGCGTGATGGAAACAAGCGGAGGTGAACAATGTTAAGCTCTGAGCAAACTGTCCTTTCTAGAGATCCAGAAAAAACATCGTCTTTTATTGATAGAGAAATACAGGATGAAGCTTAAAGTGAAAGACTGTGTTTACGCTTCATTGATGTGTAAAAGATCCAGCAATGGTAAAATAATTCTGACGTGCCACAACAGATATACAAGATAATGAAAAACCTATGTTTTTCGACGCCTTCTCTGCACTGATTGCTGCTTGTTGCTGCATGTGTTTAGCCGTACTCTTCGCCGACTCCGCGGCACGATGTTCAGCGGTCTTTTCCACTTCAGACAGGAGGCGACTTCGTGAAAGCCCGCCAATCTGTCCTGGAAACGATACGTTTGATGAAGTAAGAATTAAAAAGATGCAGCGTTCGAAGAAACGAAACGGACATCCGTTTACTCACTATGCAAGTTGGCAATCGTCTCTTCTCGTTCTCGGGCGGTATCTTGCTCTTCCACAAGTTTATCTGGAGCAAGGAAAAACAGAGAGAAAAAATAAAGAAAAGGGAAACACACTCCTCACAGACAACAAAATTCAGCGAGAAAAAGTATTTTAAACTGACCTCTCAGAGTCAGAATTTCTTGTCTCACTTCAGTCGCTTTGCTCTCGGCCGTTTGGAGTTGCTCTGAAAAGGATATTTAAGAAAACTTGTTGATCGCTGGATACTAGAGGAGACAGAAAAGCACGACGAGTGTTTGATCTTGACTCAGGCGAAATAAAAGTTTTACCACGAAGTTCTTGGATGGTTTTCTCTTCAGTACCAGAGTCACTATCAGATAAAGCTGAAACACACATTATAAATTTCTAATTTTTCCCATATGCCAAATAAGTATCATCGAATCTTATTTTTTCATTCTCGTTGTGCTATCGAATCAATGCACCCTATTCGTTTGGTCATTTATCTTATTTCCAATGGATCCTCCCTAATTTATTCGTCCCTATTCGTTCAATCTAATCGACCCGTTCCATCTTCCAATTTCATGCATGTTAAAGATACGCGTACCTGAGATAGTGTAATTCTTACTGGAAACAAGCTCTTTATAATTGGACATCTCATCTGAGAGAGAAAAGAAAAGCGCTGTGCAAAAAATAATGGTGGTCATAAACCTGGTCTGAATGAAATGCTTACTTTTGATGAACTGAATGTGTCTCATGCACTTCAGTACGATCACCTCTGAAAATGTAAAGAAAACTTTGGGTTTTGGAGAAGTCACTTGAGAGGATGTTTCGTTTTGTTTTGTTTTTTTTTGGTAGGATACGATGAAGACCACAGACTACATTCCTTTTTTATATTCCACAAAAATACTAGAATAAAGGCTCTGTTCATGATTGTGACATTTGCAATAAAATATAAGAGGAAACTTTACTCGAAATTGATTGGTCGTTTTCGGTACATTTAATCCCACAATGCACAGACAAAATGTGTACGGAGAAAATTTTGAAATACATTGAATTTCTGTAATAAACGGCGAAGGTAATATTTGTCTCGTCCTTTTCCTCTCACATTATTGTAAGTAATAGCATAGAATTCCGTCGAATCAATGGAAAACCCTCGTTCAAGTCTTTTTCCACATTGTGTGTTCGAAACCACGGTATTGGAGAACATGGCGCAACAACATCAATTGCCGCATATACGAGCGTTCGAAAATGAGAAAAATTGAACGTGAAAGCTACTCGAAAGAAAGACTTGTATACGAACCGATCTGTCGAGTTTCGACATTGTTCTCGAGGAAAGAGGAATAATCAGTTCCGTCGTTCTGGCCATTAAAGCTACACAGTTGGTTCTTCACATTTTGAAGTTCAGCTGTAAAATAAAAACTCGAATTATATCATCAACAGGCATAAAATACATACAAAATTAAATATAAATAACTAGACAATTTAAATACCTTCTAAGTCATCTAGCATATCAAGATCGTAGTTCGTGCCTTCATTCAAGCCTAGAAAATACATTTGGATGAAACATGAACTAGAAATGCTATAACATATTCATATTCGAAGGATGGAAAAACCAATACTTATTGTTTATTGAAAAAAATAACGAACTTAGCTGGAACACATCAAACACATTGTTCGGGAAATCGAATGTTTTATAATTCTTTAATGTGTAGGCATATAACTGTGTTTATTTCGTCTATAAGTGCCTAGCTTGCGCCATAATAGCAGCAATTTATTGCACCACTTATTGCAGCAAGCATGAAAGAATCGTTGCATGAACTGTAAATCCATCATAAATCAAATGGAAAAGGCAAATCAAAATGACAGTCAGTTGTCACCAAGCACCTAAATCATTGTACATACCTTGAACGTGATTGGAGATATTCTCCTGAATGTCATCTTCATTTACTGAAAACGGAAAAGTGAAATTGTTCACGGCACTTTACGAGCGTATAGTGTAAACCGTCCTCCTCGTTCTGCTCTTACCAATCAGACTATTTGAAGCGTCGTCTTCCTTATCGAGATCGTCAACTGCTCGGAGATGACAACACATAAGCTGCTCTATAGCATATGGAAAAATTTTAAATAGATATTCGTCAGACTGAAAAGAGCTCAAACTGAAAACCCCGCAAATTATGTAAGCTGTACGACAAGTACGACCGTTTTACCTTGCTACATAAATTATAACATGTGACCTAACATATCCTAACTGAAGTGGTACTACAGGTATGACCGTGTTCAATATGATACACACATAATCAACATGTGACCCTGCATACTCAACCTGAAGTGTTACTACAAGTACGGCCGTGTTCAAAGTGGTACGTATACTAACAACACGTGACCTAACATATTCTACCTGAAGTGGTACTACAGGTATGACCGTGTTCAAAATGATGAGCATATAATCAACACGTGACCCAACATATTCTACCTGAAGTGGTACCACAGGTATGACCGTGTTCAATATGATACACACGCCATCAACATGTGACCCTGCATATTCTACCTGAAGTGGCACTACAAGCATAACATTGTTCAAAATGGTACACACATAATCACCTTGTGACCGCAGATCAGTGCTTGTGACCCTACATATTCTACCTGATGCACGAAAAATAACTACACACTTCTACTGACCTTCAGTTTGGTCGATTTCGACTCGCAAATGTTCCAACTCTTTTTCATATTCAACCAACTCATCTGTAAAAAATATATATATTATACTGAAAAGTCCACTGAAAACAACAACCTTTCCAAAACATCGTAAATTTTATCACGTTATGTTCATGTTAAAAACTTCAACATACTTTTCAAAATTGCAAGCTCCCCGTCATTATCCTCATCATTTTGCTCGTAATTATTAACCTTGCCTGCAATATCAAAGTAATTTGAATGGCAACGTGCCAGGTGAATCATCTGGAAAATCATTCGTTTAAAAGAAGGTTTCATGAATGACTTGATGGCAAATTCGCAAATGATTCTAACTAGGCATGCGCACACAGAAAACAAATTATTGCAGCAAGCATGAAAGACTCGTTACATGAACTGTAAATCCACCATAAATCTAATGGAGAAGGCAAATCGAAATGAAAAATTTGTGTATTGCACGAGATCTTGTATTTACAGTACCATTGATCTCGTTGACACGATCCTCCTTGGATTTTGACTCCTCTCTCAATCCGTGAAGTTTATCTGGAGATGTTAAGAGATATTAGAGTGATTTAGCAAACACGACGTTTCATCTAAGACGTCGTCAAATTTTCGCGAGGGATCTGGGTCTAGGATACCACCAAGTCGTAAAGTATTTGTGATTTAGCAAACCTTTTGTAGGACTTCGTCAAAGAATAGTATGAAACAAGTTTCATCCATTTCGGCATTTTCCTGCTGGATCGTTTTTTCAATCATCATTTTAAACTAATTTTTTGATATGAAATACGTATATACTGCAGTATATTTATTTCAAAAAATATGTAAATAGAAGCAAAATCATCGACATGCGGCTTCTTGACTGAATTGTTTTGACTCCGAGGAAACCCCCGATATCAGAGCAGGCCCCGCGATGTTTATTTGGTTTTTTTTCACGCTTCAGGAAACAAAACATTTGCAGTTTTTACGTAGATGAGTATATGTAGGCCTATATAATCTTTCAAGATGCAAATATCTGAGATATATACGCATTTCTGTCTTCACGACGACTACGATGTTTTCACGTCGTAGTGGTCAGCACGACTGCCGTCGTACATTGAACCGGAAGTAGCTAAAAGGCGCATACCACGCCATTTCTAAGACGTCTTAGACGGAACGTCGTGTCTGCTGAATCACTCTATTATATCGTCACAGCCCTATCTCAAAAATTCACTTTTTCAACTGTCCCGTAATGCTTTCCCATATTATTTATGAATAGTTCAGTCCGAAGTGTTGTTTACGAAACTATGACGACGAGAACAAGAGCGTATTATACAACAATAGAGATGGAGGAGGAGATAGGGGAATGAGGAAAAGAGGTATGCAATGCAACACCAAAGCAGATGTATAAAATTGTATTTTTGAGTTTGATGATATGAATGAACGAATAGATCAGTTGGAATTGGGTTTTTCAACAACGTTAAAAATTTGGATTCGGCTCAGCAAAACACTCGTTCCACTCGAATGAGCTTCACAGCTGCATGCAAACAATGGAAGTAAACAGCTACGTAAGTACCTTTTAAAGTCTGAATCGTCTCTTCAACCGAACATAACTCTTCGGAGTCACCTTGAAAAAAAGAAAGCCAACAGTGAAATCGTATTTGCAATGCTCTCAAGTTTAAAAAGTTTTCAGCCTCGACAAGAAATGAAAGTTTGCTTTTTCTGCACGGTCATATAGCCGTTAAACGTGATGTTTGTGACGTGGACAACCCGCCTTGCTATGCCGAATTTTCTGTGTTCACTTACAGAGAAACAACAGATTTCGGAAGAACTGAAAAATGACAATGCTCTAAAGTTTACGTAGAAGGACTGAAACTCGAGGACGAGCTACGCTACTGTGTGCACACATGTTAAATACAGCTCCACATACCATTCAGAGATTTGCGATCGCTCTCCGAACTCCCTTTGGCCGAATCTTTTCGTTTATCCATTTGCGCTGAAATCAATAAAACATCAAGTAATTCAAATGCCATACAGTATACACTCGGTTGTAGCTGCAAGGCCTTTAACCGTGAACCACGTCTAAATAATAAATTTGACGCGCCGGACTAACATTCAAAAATGTTTAATGTAAGATGTTAGACGTCTGAACCACGGTGATATACGTGAAATGGATATTAACTATTTATGATTTTCATCAATCATTCGTGCAGCATTCTTGACGATAATGCGTCAGTGTTAGCCTCGTTTCCACGAAGATCAAGCGATTAACAGTAATAACAAAGAAGATGGCTGGATTTGGGAGATGTCATCCGTGCAACTTCAAGCTATAACTTCTTGGAAGGATTTCGAAGATTGTTTTTTTGATCCATTGAACTAAAATACGCGGAACGCTACCTGTAATAGAAAAGCCTAATAATTTTATGAAGACAAATCTTACACCCAGACACGCGTGTGTAGTTCAATCAATTTTCACTCCGCGAGAGAATCTCGAAACACTAAACACGTGTGTCTGGGTGTAATCTCAAGTGTCTGGGTGTAAGATTTGGCTTCGATTATTTACTTCAGGAGCGTTCCAAGTATTTTAGTTCAATGGTTTGACTAGCTTCTTGCCATGAAAATGATGAAAGTAATCTTCTAAATGTTGAAATAGATTATGGCTTCGCACAATTTTACAAGTGTGAAATTCAAAATATATTAAATATTGACAACGCCACATGTAAGGCAGTTGTCGTTGTTTTATTGAGAGCCCAGAACGAACAATTTGTTCACCAAGAGTTGAGAAATTTCTTAAAATTGTTTATATCTCCAAATATTGTTTTCGATTTCACACCAAATTAAGAATTCCAACACTTTTACGCCTGAAGTTTCAACTCTTGCCAATTCCTCAAAATTTTTAATGTCTCAATGGATCGCGGAAAGGATCTGTAATTTCAGGTGACATTTGCTATGCACATGCACTGAGGCAAATAGACAGCTGAATATTTATTCGACTTTCTCCCACCTCCTTACCCGCTGGAGATTCAAGTCTGACTAACGTAATATTTCAGATTTCATCAAAATATAATTTATGCAATGAATTAATTCGAATTGCATGCATAAACATCATGTTCCAGACAATGTGCATACGTAATAGTCTTCAGATATATAATGGACTTTTTAGACTGATATGCATTTTATCGGCTTCATTTGCTGTACGTCAATAAATATGATAACTGTAAACTGACTGAGCAACACCGGTAAATATTATGTTGGACCAACAATCGCTTTGCACAAGCAAGGCCTTAGAGACAGGTTGCAAAAAGAAAGAAATTTTCTGAAATAATATATTATACTATTTGGGAAGGAAAACAAGGGTATTTTCATCGAGGGATGTTAAAAATTTTTGTTTACTGTTTAAGAAATATACAAAAATATATTCAAAACATAGCTTAACTCAATTAACAATTTAACACCAGATGCTTTCAAAATTTCTTGTCCGCGAGCAACAGCCAAAGCATTTTAATTCAATTGAGCAGAATTAGCTTGTCGGTGAACAAGAAATCAATGAATACAATTAGCTTCTCGGTAGTAGGATTCCGAACAGATTTCAAACTTCACTTCAACAATTCGTTTACTCTTGCAACAACAAAAGCCAGAAAACACTGGCACAAAAATTTGCTCACGGGGAACTTGCGATAACTACATATAACTATAAGTTACAGATATACGTACATACCACGCATTGCTAGTAACTGCTCCTTTCTGAAATCGCACTCGGCTTGCATGGATTCGAGCTAGGAAAAAATATCATTGCACCGTCATTCTCAAGCGCTTATAGCGTGCGTTCTATAATTGATCATCAACATAAGATGACGCCCGGCATGCAAAGCTTCGATAGCCGCCAAAATAACACAAGGAACTGGAGAAAATAAATTCATCGTGTTAAATGTTTGTTCATCAAAAATAGACCTCAGCAACCCTCTCGCAGATGGAAACACGAGCTGACTTTGGACTTTGAATGTCACATGGTCATTGCGGCAGTTTCTTGAAATAATTATTCGCCCAAATTGGCAAGAAAATTCACGACTTTGAAAACAAAGGTTTCTGTTATTTTCCCCGCGAAAAGTTGTAACCTAGAGACACAGAGACTTACTCGAGATATATATTCGAGTTCTTTTTTTGAAGCTTTCGCTACAGCCTCCTTCGCATCAGCTTTCTCGCCGCTCATCTGCAATGTATGGCAAGTGATGTTGAAGATTCGGATGTGACTTTTTTCGGAAGTCGATACACAAAATATTCCGAAAATAATCAATCCGACGACACGAGAGATACAAAAGACAAAATGCTAATGGTTCCAAAATGAGGTAAAATACATTGGCAACGATTATAAAATCATACCTGTGTCAGCTGGTTTCTCAGATCATTCATTTCGTCCAATCTCTATACAAGAAACGAGAAAATCACTCATTGACGACAAAAACAGCAGACTAGATTATCATGGAAAAGCAAAAAGTAAAAGCGACAAGAACATTGTTTAAAACAAACATATTGTAACAAGGAAGAATTTTCAAATTTTCACAGGGTGTCTGTGAGTGTAAGTGTATGCCAATAATTCGGGGGCGAGGTACATATTCTTTTAAAAAATGTTGAGGGTTTTTAACTAACCTGACCATACTGCGTTGATAAATCTTCCAGTTGTTTTTGAGCTTTCGCGTAAAGAGTTTGATAATGGCTGCACTCGTCCTCTGCATTGTTGTAAGACTTCTACAGATGTAAAAAGAAATTCGTTGATGAATTTGGCAAGCTGAATAACTTATCATTAAAATAAAAATACATTATTTACCAAATAGATTAGCTACATCTGAGTGTTTTCTGTTCGGTTGTACGTAAATAAACGGTATGACATCGTTTGTGATAAGAACAAAAAGTGATCACTATTGGCTATCTTAAGTCACGTGTTAAAATGTGATAACCAGACAGAATAAATAAGCGATATCTGATCAATTTCTTTAAGAATCCGTTATCGAAGAAGCACAAATCATCGATAGAAAACCATTTTTCTTTTTTCTTTTTGCTAAAACATACGTCAACCGCCTCACTTTGGTCGTTTTCAATATCTGCAGTTGCTCATTCATAAATAAATCCAGGTCAATATTCAAATAATTTCGCGATTCGTAAGTAATTTTAAAACAAGAAATTTTCCGTAACGTCTTTTGCGCGTCTGTCCTCTTATAGATAATGACTCTCGACCAATAATGAAAACTTAAGCTCTTAACACAAGTGACGATACTTACTTCAAGAATCGTTATTCTCTCGATCGCTTTGAGCTTATCCTCCGTAACTCGACGAAGTCCTTCCTAAATATATAGGAATGTAGAAAAATGAATATCCTATCTTGGGGCAGCAGTTTTTTGAGGTCACTTCCGACTATGGGGGAGGGGGCTCACAAAATTTAGCGTTATCAACGATTTAATTGTTTCAAGATTTAATGTAAGTGGATTTTCAAATCACACTTTACAGTTTACGACCTTTGCAGCCATTTCATATTTGTTTTTATCTTCGTGGAGTCTTGTGATTTCTTGTTTCAATTCGTCTTCGGTGCAATTCTAAAAGTGAAAAATCACCAGATTTTCGTGGGTAATTATAAAATAAACACAATGAAACGCGTGCGTTGATTGGTCTAGAGCCGTGCCCGCATTAGCCTTTGCAAAACACATCTGAGCTCAACCAATCAAATCGATAAAACAATCAATCGGTCAAAGAGAATTTAGTAATCGATCATGAATAACATTTTAGAGGAAAAATCAAATTGTTTGTCTTTTTCGCATACTCTCGGGGATGTGCAACCCTCGACTTTCGGTCTCGGGCTTGCACTGATCTGCTCTCAAGTTCTCCCAAAGGACTCCTCGGTTTGCATAAGCCCGTGCAAACACAGTAACACTTTTGTGTTAAATACAACCACGCAAAGCAATACGCAAATATCGTCTTATCCCCAAAAAATAATTAATCGTTGTAAGAACAACAAAAATGTCAAATTTTCTTAAATATAAGTACAGCAATATAGCTCCTTTCAAGTTATGTACAATTAGTTTCAAATTTAATAACAAATTTTCTTTTGAACGTCACTATTAAAATGCATACATATGGAGCTTTTGGTATTTTTTTGGATAAGCAAACAGAGACTTTAAAGGGCATATGACTCGAAAATTGAGCAATTTATATTACATTTTCGTCGAGCATAACTTTGAAAATCACAGCGCATCCTGTAATACAGTTTATTCATATCATTTTTCATTTTCAAGATATTGCAGTTTATGTAACGTATGCTTTACAAAACTTTTGACCTCGCATTGCATATTGAGAATTTTGAAACGGCAGGTTTACTTGTTGATATGCTACTTCAACCGAGTAGATTTCCCTTCATTAATGGTATTAAATATTTCTTTATCGCTTGCAGCCAAAAGTAGCAGGAAAAGTAAAGGATGTTTGAAACTTCGCAGCGACTCATTGTGCAAAACGACGTAGAGAGTTGTGTGAATCGGACATCACAAAAATTTCAATATCTTTAGAATAAAAAGAGATATGCACAAACTGTTTTAGAAATATAGTAAAAAACAAATTCAGAAAAAACAAGACATCTTGAGATTGCAAAATCTGAATCAAAACAAGACGAGAAGTGAACTGTAAATTTTCGACTTTATTTCAAAGTCATCCTCAGACAGAATGATGTTGAATGATGATGAATTCTATCTGAGGAGAGACTTTGAAATAAAGTCGAAAATTTACTGTTCACTTCTCATCTTGTTTTGATTCATATTTTGCAATCTCAAGATGTCTTGTTTTTTCGGATTTTGGTTTTACCGTAATTTTTAAATGTCGGCTGGTCATGGTTTTGTTTTAGAAAATACACTGTCATTTTCAAAGTTCTGTTGAATGAAAATGAAATTCAAATAATAAAACATTTGAGTCATATGCTCTTTAAGGTCAATAGTTTCATGTAAAACACAAGCTGGTTTGTCAAGTAATAACGAAATAAAACTTGAACTTAAGACATGGTGTTTGTTTAACACCTACATGTATATAAATTGAGTTGTAGTTGTACCAACCTTTGTGACAATATCCAAATGGTTTTCAAGTGTCTCTAGCCTCGTCAAAAGTTTATCTTCTTGAATTATACTCTAAAATAAACACAGCGTCGATTGGAGATGTAAAAAACTTATTGTAATAAGAAAAATGGATGATTGTGTATACATAGATAAACACCTCAAACGTTTCACATGACAGATGATTGTGAATACTTAGATCAATACCTCAAACGTTTCACTGACAGATGAATGTGAATACTTAGATCAATACCTCAAAGGTTTCACAGACAGATGATTGTGAATACTTAGATCAATACCTCAAATGTTTCACTGACGGATGATTGTGAATACTTAGATCAATACCTCAAACGTTTCACTGACGGATGATTGTGAATACTTAGATCAACACCTCAAATGTTTCACTGACGGATGATTGTGAATACTTAGATCAACACCTCAAACGTTTCACTGACGGATGATTGTGAATACTTAGATCAATACCTCAAATGTTTCAATGACAGATGATTGTGAATACTTAGATCCATACCTCAAATGTTTCACATGATCGTGAATACTTAGATCAATACCTCAAACGTTTCACTGACGGATGATTGTGAATACTTAGATCAACACCTCAAATGTTTCACTGACAGATGATCGTGAATACTTAGATCAACACCTCAAATGTTTCACTGACAGATGATCGTGAATACTTAGATCAACACCTCAAATGTTTCAATGACAGATGATTGTGAATACTTAGATCAACACCTCAAATGTTTCACTGACAGATGATCGTGAATACTTAGATCAACACCTCAAATGTTTCAATGACAGATGATTGTGAATACTTAGATCAACACCTCAAACGTTTCACTGACGGATGATTGTGAATACTTAGATCAATACCTCAAATGTTTCACTGACGGATGATTGTGAATACTTAGATCAATACCTCAAACGTTTCACTGACGGATGATTGTGAATACTTAGATCAACACCTCAAATGTTTCACTGACGGATGATTGTGAATACTTAGATCAATACCTCAAACGTTTCACTGACGGATGATTGTGAATACATAGATCAACACCTCAAACGTTTCACTGACGGATGATTGTGAATACTTAGATCAATACCTCAAACGTTTCACTGACGGATGATTGTGAATACATAGATCAACACCTCAAATGTTTCACTGACGGATGATTGTGAATACTTAGATCAACACCTCAAACGTTTCACTGACTGATGATTGTGAATACTTAGATCAATACCTCAAATGTTTCAATGACAGATGATTGTGAATACTTAGATCCATACCTCAAATGTTTCACAGACAGATGATCGTGAATACTTAGATCAATACCTCAAACGTTTCACTGACGGATGATTGTTAATACTTAGATCAACACCTCAAATGTTTCACTGACAGATGATAGTGAATACTTAGATCAACACCTCAAATGTTTCAATGACAGATGATTGTGAATACTTAGATCAACACCTCAAATGTTTCACTGACAGATGATCGTGAATACTAGATCAACACCTCAAATGTTTCAATGACAGATGATTGTGAATACTTAGATCAATACCTCAAATGTTTCACAGACAGATGATCGTGAATACTTAGATCAACACCTCAAATGTTTCACTGACGGATGATTGTGAATACTTAGATCAATACCTCAAACGTTTCACTGACGGATGATTGTGAATACATAGATCAACACCTCAAATGTTTCACTGACGGATGATTGTGAATACTTAGATCAACACCTCAAACGTGACGGATGATGAATACTTAGATCAATACCTCAAATGTTTCACTGACGGATGATTGTGAATACTAGATCAATACCTCAAACGTTTCACTGACGGATGATTGTGAATACTTAGATCAACACCTCAAATGTTTCACTGACGGATGATTGTGAATACTTAGATCAATACCTCAAACGTTTCACTGACGGATGATTGTGAATACATAGATCAACACCTCAAACGTTTCACTGACGGATGATTGTGAATACTTAGATCAATACCTCAAACGTTTCACTGACGGATGATTGTGAATAGATCAACACCTCAAATGTTTCACTGACGGATGATTGTGAATACTTAGATCAACACCTCAAACGTTTCACTGACGGATGATTGTGAATACTTAGATCAATACCTCAAATGTTTCAATGACAGATGATTGTGAATACTTAGATCCATACCTCAAATGTTTCACAGACAGATGATCGTGAATACTTAGATCAATACCTCAAACGTTTCACTGACGGATGATTGTTAATACTTAGATCAACACCTCAAATGTTTCACTGACAGATGATCGTGAATACTTAGATCAACACCTCAAATGTTTCAATGACAGATGATTGTGAATACTTAGATCAACACCTCAAATGTTTCACTGACAGATGATCGTGAATACTTAGATCAACACCTCAAATGTTTCAATGACAGATGATTGTGAATACTTAGATCAATACCTCAAATGTTTCACAGACAGATGATCGTGAATACTTAGATCAACACCTCAAATGTTTCAATGACAGATGATTGTGAATACTTAGATCAACACCTCAAACGTTTCACTGACGGATGATTGTGAATACTTAGATCAATACCTCAAATGTTTCACTGACGGATGATTGTGAATACTTAGATCAATACCTCAAACGTTTCACTGACGGATGATTGTGAATACTTAGATCAACACCTCAAATGTTTCACTGACGGATGATTGTGAATACTTAGATCAATACCTCAAACGTTTCACTGACGGATGATTGTGAATACATAGATCAACACCTCAAACGTTTCACTGACGGATGATTGTGAATACTTAGATCAATACCTCAAACGTTTCACTGACGGATGATTGTGAATACATAGATCAACACCTCAAATGTTTCACTGACGGATGATTGTGAATACTTAGATCAATACCTCAAACGTTTCACTGACGGATGATTGTGAATACATAGATCAACACCTCAAATGTTTCACTGACGGATGATTGTGAATACTTAGATCAACACCTCAAATGTTTCAATGACAGATGATCGTGAATACTTAGATCAATACCTCAAACGTTTCACTGACGGATGATTGTGCATCATTGAAGATTTGTTGCAAAGACATAAATTTATTTGACAACACTTCTTGGCGATGCGATGTTTCCTTCAGTAGGAAGAGGTAAAATAAAGTTGAATTAGCAAGTTCTTGCATACAGAAACTCACACATCGAAAGAAAATTTCTTAAGATAGATTGCACACATTAAGTTCTATGCAAATGTAAAGCAAGACAATTGTTAAGAGCGATCATGACCTGAATGTACTGCGCCAGCTGCCATAGATTGTAGGACTGTGAATTAGTAGTACCAACCTAAAACAACGTGGGAAACAGTGTTTTCAACATAAACAAGGCAATAGCATTTTGAAGTGCTTTGTGAAGCTGCAAAACATGAAGCTTTTGTCATTCCCTTGCTACACTGTAGAAGTGGAATGGCTTAACCCATTTAGAGATCATTGTTGCACATGCAAGCAACAATGAAAAATGGAAATGAAACTTAATTAAATAGTGCTGTGCATCGAAGCCGGAGGTCGAAACGAAAACTCTGGCAGTGGCATTTCATACATGTCTAACTAAGTAAATGTCCAAAGTCCACAAAAAATACAGCTAAATACTAAGTTATTGTTGATAATAAAATGAAAAACATCCACAGAAATAGAGTATGTTATGTATGACAGATAAAACAACGCCTTATTTTATTGACAACTAGATTAGCCGAGAGTGACCATTTCTTAAATAAAGACACAGTGATTCTGATCCGTGATCTTCTGCCTAATATTTCAAGTAAAACCTTGTTTCCATTTCGACAAAGAGTTATTTAATTAATTTTTTTAAACTTCATGAATTTTTGAACACGTGAACTTTCTACTAAAGCTGAAGCTTGTTTTAGCAGGAGCTAGAGCTTTTTAGCACATGTTTTTTAAAAATGGAGCTTAAGTTTTTTTTGTAGAAAGAGCCAGAGTTTTTAGCTGGAGTATGATTTTATCGGCCATATCCAGAGCTGGATAAAAAAGCTCTAGAGTTTGCACAGCACTACAATCAACGCGTTATGTATGTCAGCCAGAAGGTTTGTCAATCTCAAGTTCTGTAACACAGACCATGCACAAGGAGTTATATCAAGAAAGTGTGCAGGGTGGAACACCATTCACAACAAATGCGACTTAAGTATGGTTCTTACTAATCCTTTAGTTGCCACTCTTTCACATCAACAACAATCATAAACAAATTGCAACTCATTGACAAAAACTTTCTACCCCTAAAGGGTAAAGCAAATTCTTTTGCAAATGCATAATCTTGGTCCTGATATTACCAAATGCATTACCAAACATATTCAAAAAAACATTTGTAGCAATAATGGTGTATGTTATTGCTAATTCCCAATGACATCACAAGTACCGTAAATGATCCAATAGGCACCCCTTCAAAATAAATGCCTCATATCTATTAAACACCACTTCTTGGCGCATGAATTTGTATTAGATGCTTCTCTTTAATAAACACCTCATCTGTAATAGATACCCCCACCTTTTATAGTTCTAATAATGACTGCTTTTGTAGGTTGTTGATTGGGCATACAAGCCACATATTTCGTCTTAGTTTTGTTTTTATTTGTTGAAATTAAGGTATTAAAAATGATACTAGCACCTCTCGTTCATTAACAACCCCCCTTTAAGCCTCAAGCATATATCAGATCATTCACGGTACTTGAAAATGAAAGGATTGACTCACTTGAGATGTGGAAACTCGCATTGCTTCATTACCATCTGGAGTGAACAATGTCAGCGTTGCAATGATGCATCCGTGTGTCACTGTATTGAAAGCATTTGGTTGTAGTTACATGACAGCATCATAAGGTAATAATAGATGGAAATGTTGTACGGCTGAAAATTAACCTGCTCCTTTCTTGGAGTTCTCAACAACCTCAACACCAAATTGGACAATATCACCAGAGAATATTTCTTTGGCATCACTTTCTTCTGCACCCTTGCTGAGACGAACATTGTTTATAAACGTACCATTGCTACTTTTAGTGTCTTGCAAAAAGAACTAAATATACAAGAGAATAAGAATTAGCAAAACTTTTATGAAGTCAATACGTGTCAATCGGGACCTTATGTACCTAAACTCCTAGTCACATCAGAAGCGATCAGATGTTTGAGCTTTAGCCTTTATACAATTCACTCAAGTGAAATCTTGGTTATTTTAATCAAGTGTATGAACAACAGTTCATTCCAGTACAAGACATTTCAGCCAAAACTCATTAATCATTTCGAACAAAGTACTAAATATACGATGATTCCGGTCGAAGTACAACAAATCTCCAAGAACAATGTATTCAATAAACAACACAAAAGAAAGATCGGAAACGCAGACCATGAACCCAACAATTGATTGACCATGACAAAGAAATGTCATATCAAACTTCTCACTGCACTTTCGAACTCAATTCAAAACTTGTCAACAATAATGTAAAATTTCAAGACGAGGCACCGAATTTAACAGACATTCGTATAGAAAGAGCTAATTTATCTCATTTAAAAGGGATACACACAAATACTTTGTTTACATTAACTTTGGCTCTCTCTCGCGTGATACGTTAGCGAACTTTGTAGTAATTTATAGTATCAAGCATTATTTCATGATGAAATACGCCACTTTTGAAGGAGAAATGAATATTCAGTTCACCATGAATATCTCGAGTAGTATACTAAGACTAACCTTGCCTCCTTCGTACCAGACGATAGCATGATTTCGAGATAAAACTTTGCAGTCAAATATAAGATTGTTTGACGCGGACTTTAACTTCGCAACAGAACGACCGATTTTCACCGACTCGGTGAGAAGTACACGTCGCTCTTCGAAGTCTTGCGAATTGGATCGTGATGTGAATATCGCAACGGCCATCGTCTTGTCATTTTTGCATTTTAAAACGTTTCCTTCTAGCAAATTTCACATAAATAATCGCAAAGTGGGTAAAAAACTAAAAACTCACGAATCACAATATCGCTATACGTCAAATGGCGATACCGACAACACTCGTAAAACGTCGACCGAACTGTCACAAACAGATAATTAAATAGTATATATCATTGATTTCTATATTAAATTAAATGGACCAAGGAAAATGCTGAAGAAAGAGGTCAAGACATGGTTCAAAATCAAGGTTTGCTGAAAAAATGAATGAGCTGAAAAAATGAATAAGTTTGGTTAGGACTTAGAGTTTAGGCATTTATAAAGCAAAAAAGCTCAGTGTAATAAAGAATTGTTTGTTATAATTCAAACTAGAGTTAGGATTTTGTATGGTGATAATCTGATGGATGTAATCGATTACACAATTACAATGTAATCAATTACAATTTTATCCATTACACATTACAATGTAATTGATTACATGATTATAATTTTATTGATTACACAATTACAATGTAATCAACTTACACCATTACAATGTCATCACAAACAAGCTTTTCCTTCTAGCTTTGCAGCTTCAGCCTTAAAACTTCAAAGCAACAAATGCATGTGAATCTTGGATCACCATCCATAGGGTTGTACCAAGTTTCAATTGTATTCAGATAAGGTAATGCTAAATTAAACTTGTCATGCACATAGTCATAAGCTTTCGTTGAATAGAACTTCAGGGTAAGAGCAAATGATCGTAGCTCACTAGGATACTCGATGCCTTTGTTATATTTATTGTCAGACACTAACTTATTATGTCACCTGGAACCACTGAACAATGCATTATTGAGAATTACTACTTCATCACAATTCATCAACCCATCCTCTTTCAAGCTACAAACAATTGAGATTAAGGTCTCAACCTTCTTATGCAACCTACTATTTTGAATCATACATGTCTTCAGTTTCTTTCTCATTGATTCAACTTTGTCAATGACCTCTTCCGATTGATGTTTTAATCAACAAGAAGATTAACAACTGAAAGTATGATAAAGTAAAGCAATGATTATTTTCTTTGATGCCTTTATTCTGAGTGAAACCAGCTGATATATTTTCAAAGCTTGAATGAAGACAATATTGTATACTTTCTGCATTTAAAATACATGATTGAATGCATGCTTCATTCAAAGAAATGTGCACTGCAAAGATTTTTACATTACCATCAGAATCATATGCACCCATAAACATTTACAGTCTGTAAGCATGTCATCTATCAGTTTGTAGCACCCATTATTTACAGTCTGTAAAGAAACACCATGGTTTTAAAATAACAGTTTGCAAGCCATTTTATCTTATAATTCATATTGCACATACCACAACATTTTCGAATACTGTAGGAATTGCATTACATGTTGATGGATTATATTATTATGACATGCATGATATGAATTATGAGCCCCAATCGAGAGCCCTCGACAATCATGGAGCTTGCCACTCCACTGTATTTTTCAAGTAGGGCATGTGTCAACGTCCATCTTTCAAAATAGAATTGTATACCCATGCGCAATAAATAGCTAATCGCATGCCCTTTAGAAATCATTGATCACCACACCATTTTGAACCCAGTTCTCAACTCGACCTGACATCTCAATGCAACAATGAAGGTGTTTGGTGGTGGTGGGGCTTGTTGTTCGAACGGCGTGCAAGCAGACAATCTCCAAAAAATTTCCAGCGATAAGTGTTCCGATTTCTTCAACATTATATTTACAGGCTAGGTTTTAACGCATGCTCGCGTTGTAAAATACCATCAGATAATTCTTGCAGAAGAACGAAGGGGAGTTATAAATAAAAATCCAACTCGACTAAATGAAAATTGATTTGTCAAATACAATGTCTATTAAATATCATCAACAAACGCGAGTTTCTTATTTACAATTGTACATATACATCTTTTTTGGCCAATATGTACAAGATGGGCGGAATAAATAAACTAACTATAATTTCAGAGTATCGAGCACACCATTCAAGACTATGAATAACCGAAGCATGCTTTCATCGATAAATGGTCACTGGGAAAATACTTGTTTGGGCAAGCGACTAACGCTTTTAAGGATTCCTCTTTCACATTCCGCAGTACCGCGTTTACCCCGAGTGTGGCCGAAGAATACCATATGTAGTCCAATGTTCCCTTCATAACCTCGAATCCATACAGACGAGGGAATTCTTTGTTCATCTGGTAATGAGTCAGCGACGGTTCCTTTCCCTACAGAAATCGACTTCGAATATTAAAAACGAACTTATTTGATCGTGAAGCAAAGAGCAGATAAAAATTATTTTACAACTTCAGTAGAATTGCTAACTTTATTCATTATGCAAATGACATCGTTGTGACAACAGGAAAACAATAACATCTTGGAGGTCATCAATTTTCCACATTGTTAGAACGTTTTATGCACAAATACAACAGTTCACTGAATACATGTGTAGATGAATATGTTTGTAAAGGTTTCAAAGCGAGATATTTTAATGCTAAACATCGACAAAAACAACATTTCCCAACGCTATTTATGAAATGTGATGTCATCCTTATGCTTGTCTTAATATCCACGAGTATATTGACAACCTCGATAATGCAATAAAACTTGAAAAACGAAGAATAATGTTCATGATTACGAAAAATCGGATAAGCTTTGGGCAGGGTAAAAGTTGAAAGAAGTTTTCATGTTACCCAAAACCTGGTCGCTTCTATTGACTGTAGCTTTATACATATAAATAAATGGCTAATTCCGACTAGAAAAAGGCGTAGAAGGCTCTAGAAATGGACTGGACTCTTCATACATACCAGAGCCGTTTTATACGCACTCTTTATGTCCCTCAACGGATGAGAAAGATACTTTCGTCCTTTTTCGAGAATTAGCGTTTTGATGTTGCTTGTCTGAAATCAAATAATCGGATGTGCAACATTATTAGTAACATTAAAAAAAACGGAAAGGAAAATTTCCCATTGGGAAGTTCTACAATTAAACAGGAGCCTGTTGCAGCACTGGATAGTGTTTTCTAGCTAGTGCATCTGTAGTTTTCTTTAACACAAAACTCTTATTAGGCGGAAAGATACGATGTAAACTTTACTAGAAATAAAAGAAAAAGTGAATTCAAGAGAAACGAAGTTTTCTTTTAGTGCACAACCATTTTTGACATTCTTGGCAAATCATTATCATGCGATGAATTTGGAAGTTTGTCATTCAAAAGCATTGTAAAATTGCATGAAGAGAAAATGCAATAGCAAAGTTGGAAAAAATGTATAGCAATAAATTTTGTATCATGGGCGCTGCAAAAGAAAAGTATCTAAAAAGTTTAGCAAAGGCGGTAAAGCTTAAACAATGTACAAAACTTGCAAACTCGAAGCATGAATATGTCATGTTTAGAACATACTACAAACAAATTACCTCAGATTTCTGGATGATTTGCGGGTACAGGTATTTGTTAGGATTCAGTTTTTCGATGTCTTCGTCAGATACGTTTCCGGTAGCGATGATATTGTACAGCGGGAAATTGGGATATGTATTAAAGTCGCCACTTATAATCCACGGAATGTTTTCATCTTTTCCATGGCCTTCTGACGTGAGAAACTCGTGAAGCTCTCGCAAGAAAACGGTTATTTGAAGAGCCTGTTTGTCCGGTTCTCGCCAGCTGTTAAACATCGAATGAAGATTTGCTATGAAGTGCATAATGATAAGATATGTTAAAGTCAAAGTACAAACAATACTAGCATTGAACATGTATTTACATTACTTAGGTTACCACAAAAAGAGCTGGTAATTGGAAACTAATGCAACGGAGACTAATGCAACGGAGCTAGTTGGATAGTTTGCACAAAAAAAGTTTGCAGGAATCGATTAAGGGTTTGACAAAGTCCGCAGTCATTTTAAAGTTCTTTTAAATAGCAAAACATAAATGAAATAGCAAAACTTCATCACTGGAGCGAAAGATCCGATTGCCTAAGTTTTAAGTTGAAACTCGAGTACACAGAGTCAGGACCTCTAATGTGTCAATTTTTATATGTGAAACCAATTAACATGCTAGCTTCTACGTAAAACATGGCCAACATTCTTTCGTTTATTGGAGAGAAAATGAAAGTTTTCTCATTCAAGGTTTCCATGCGCAGAGCTTCGACTTCAGCGTTCAGAATCAGTGCTCGTTGGACGAAAAAAATAATGAAATACCTACAACAATGGATCGCCCTGTCTTTCGGTCGGAAAAATGAGAAAACAGTACAATGCGTTCATTATGTTTGTTTTTGTCCACGAACTGATCCTCCTTAAAGATCTTTGACATCAACTTATTAAAGTGACGTGAGACGCTCTTTTCCATTTCAAATCTCTCCGTTTTATAGAACGTTGCCAGGCCATGTTGCTCTTCGTAATGCACCTTGTGGACACCTTGGAAGCCCAACTGACCTAACTCGTCCGCAAGCACCGAAAAATGAGACGTCTCGACTTCTTGCAAATTTATCAAGTCCGGTTCTAGCCATTTAAGCTGCAATCAGTAAATGTACATAGATCAGTTGGAAATGTAAACGCAGTTAACAATAAGAAAAACATAGGTATTTGTGGTGAAGGATATAGGGCAGGTCAGAGTACGTTATAGAAGCTCATTTCAACTTCAAAATAATTTAAGAACAACGTTGTTGGTGGCAAATTTCTTGAGAATATCTAAATTATTAACATGCTTGTGGCCAGGTTAGTAGAGTCCTGAGAAGGACTGTTGGTATTGATGTAGACTGACGTTTCGACAAACTTAGCGGTAGTCATGATGATGACTGAACACTGTGGAAGATTCAAGAAGTCTGAAGATGACTACCGCTAAGGTTGTCGAAACGTCAGTCTACATCAATACCAACAGTCCTTCTCAGGACTCTACTAACCTGGACGATCTTCATCCACAAACATGTTATGATACTCCCGGGTTCAAACCATTTACTTTAAATTGTTACCACTAAGACTTGCTGTTAAGTATTTTTTAATGGGAAATATATTTATATTAATGTATTCTGACCTTCCCTGTACCTGCTACTGGGTATTTGTTAAGTGATACTAAACACCACACTAAACGAAAGTTTCCACCGAGATATATATTGTTAATGAATTCTAAATGAACGAATTCCATATGATTTAACGCAGCATTAATTAGGCTTATGATAACTTGCTGCTAAATATCATAAGAAGATTGAGGTCACTTTGTGCTTTAAAAAAATGAGATATCGTTTCTAGAATTCAAAAACACCCTATTTCAAAATTAGTAATAAAGAGTAAGCAATCAGTTTCACTCACTATTCAGCAACATCATTTGTTGGTAACTGTCATCGTGTACAGCACTTTTCGCGCGGGTTTCATTCAAATAAGACTCAAAAGACAAGATCACAATAGCATCAACAGGTAATTAATCGGCAAAGGAAAACAAAGTACGCAATTATTTAACAAGTCCTTTTTTTCTCTGAGAGAATATCCACAAATTTATATCAAGAATGCAATAATTGCTCGGTCTATTAGATCTCACAGATTTACTAAGTTATAAAAATATTTTAATGCAAATCTTTAGCGTGCAGGTGACGTGGATAGTTTCGCCGAATCCTCAGTTAAATGTTAAAAATAAAGCAATCACTTTACCTCTTTCATGAGTTGCTTATGCCTTTGCGATGCTCTGACATCTGGTGCCTTTAATTTCTCCTCCATAGACAGAGGTAAGTAGCCATTTGGCTGTTGTCGAACGGGCCCATCCGCCAAAATATTGTACGTTACAAGACAAAATTCGTCATCCGTAAGTTGAAGCCGCTTTAAGGAACGTCTAAACACCGGCTCGCTCTTCAATAAATCCGAATAATGCACCTTTTTCAAAAGAAATAGAAGCACTACGATGAAGGAAAATAACAAAGTAAACGTCCTTTGTTATTTAAATTCGTGAAGACAACAAATAAATGGGACTTCGCGGCGGCCATATTTACACTGGCCGTGTGAAAAATACGATGAACATGAAAGCCTGGGACTTCATCTTTAGTTTAAGAGCTGGTACGCGTAGCGTACATGCACGCATTGTAAAATTATTTTAAAACCATTACGCCTCGCGTTCAGGGGCATGTGTTTGAATCTTTGAGAGTACCAAGTCAACGAACGGTTTAAATGTACAGAACGTCGCAATATAAACTATAAAAGTGCAAATATACTAAAGTGTTAATTGGCCATATTACACCACATTTCTTCGCATTTAACTTGAGCAATTATTAAATTAAAATACATTAGCCAAGTAACGAATGCACGAGCAAAAATCTCATAAATAAAATGTGAGCTTTAGTCAAAATTATATGTAACATACATAAATAGCAGCTAATTTAAAATTTGGCGTCACAATTCGGCGCGCAATGCTTCTTTAAGGTCTTTTTCGTCATCGTCTTCGCTATTCTGACCACTCTCACTATCATCTTGGTCTTTCTCATCGCTATTTTCATCACCGTGTTCAACGTCATCACTTGCATCGTCATCACTTGCATCGTTTTCACTTACGTCATCATCTTCATCATCCTTCGTGACGTCATCGGAAGTTTCGTCTAAAATACCAAAAAGAAGTGGAAAGACCGATTGTTAAAAATGTATCAGAGATTTTAGTTTTTTTTATGAAGAGTAATTTACAGACAACGTCACGAAGGATGTCAAGATTAACACTGACAAACTGAGGCACTTTACTAATATATTCATGACGTAACATATTTACAAATTCTTAAACTATTTTTAAAGACTCTCTCAGCAAATTTGCACAATTAATCGCAGGTTTGAAGCTTAATTTTTCCATATGAACGTAAAGACTATCGTCAAGGTTTGTAAGGCATAAGAAGTGTGAAATGTTGAGTGTGAAAGCAATTGAAGCATCACATTAATACTTGATACTAATCCTCGCTCTCGTTAGATCTTCTAAGAGCAAATAAAACGGACAAATATAAGACAACAAGCGCTGCAACACCGCTGGCACTGCGTCTCGAGAACGCCCATAACATTAGAGCGAAGAACACGGCATACAGCAAAGAGCCCATTTTCAAATGCCACTCTTCTACAAATTTTCCTTTTTTCAAATCATCCAAACGTATTTCGTCTTCGGATTTCTTAGGTTTTTTCTTTTTTTTACCTTTGACGCACTTCCCATTTTTCTTCGTGTGGCCAGAGTCGCAAACACACGAGTAGAAACCAGGCATGTTTTTACAATGTTCGTTCTCCCCCGGACACAACTTCGTGTTTGTGCATTCATCGACGTCTAGTGTAATAAAGTGAGGTGTTTATGAATTGCCGATTTTAATTGAATGTGCAAACACACAAAGTTTCTCTAACAACAGCAATTCGCAAATATTCGTGACCATACCAACCGGTATAATGGGAGGGAGAGGGGATAAAGAAAGTTCTACGCTCATTTGTCAAGAGCGGCAATGCACCTCCAGAAACAAAATTGATAAATCCATTTTTTAGCAAACGCAATACAACCAACAATTTCATACACATAACTTTCTACAATGCGCCCTCCCCCGCTCCCTCAGGGAAACACAGAGACTAACCAAGCTACCAAGGTAGCTACTAAACACTGTAATCTCATTAAAAACCAACACCTCAGTTTGTGCAGGACAGTTGTCTTGCTAAAGCAAAAGTTTATACATGATTTCTACATGAGCTGAAGCTGTCCACAACTATAGACGTTTGGAACCTCTTCAAGATATTTTACAAGCCGCAATCATACCTTCACAACCTTTATCCCTCATCTCGTAACCAGAGTTACAGGCTGAACACTTCTCAGTACCAGGTCCGGAGCATTGGGAGCAGGCTTTATCGCAGTCAGTGCACTCGTAAGAGCCTGGAGTGTTCGCACAGTATTTTCCATCTTCACAATTGACCTCGCCAATAGCACATTCATCAATATCTATAATAAAGAAAGAGAAAACATGTCACTATGTTGGTTTTCAGATGTAAACTGTCTCCAAACTTTTCACGTTTCTAATCTGTCATAAATCGATTTAACTTTTTTGTTTGACGGCATCAAAAGTTTATGTTTGCTGCAACAATTTGTAACCTGAAGACAAAAAGTCAAAGTTTTTGGACATGCTGTTAAAATAGAAATAAATTTTTTCAAAACATATGCTTAGAAATTTTCAACTATGAGCAGATCGAGATTAAGATTACAGCTTCAGAAGGAAATAATTCTCAACTTGTCATGTTTGCTTGGCATAGGAACGATGACAAAACATCACCTGGATGGAAACAAGGCTCCAAAAGAGAAAAAAATGAAATTAGTGGTACATAAGCAATACCTTTACATCCCTCGTCGGCCACCAAAGAGTAACCGGTTTTACAAGCTAAACAGGCTTTGTTCCCTGGTCCAGTGCAGTTTTCATCACAGGAACGGTCACAATCTAATGAAAATGTTATGATAAGACAGTATCCAGAGCAGGATAAATGACATTGTACATGCTCAATGGGTTTTCTACTAACCTTCGCATTTATAGCTTCCCGCTGTGTTAACACAATATTTTTTTGATCCACAAACATCGTCTGAATTCGTACATTCATCTTTATCTGGTAATATTTCAGTTAAATAGTTAGATCCACAAAAAGTAAATTCTCAGTTCCTGTCGTTTGAACTCAATAGGACTGCAAAATTGTTTCTCAAAAATTATCTAGCTTCATATACCAATGCATCCATCTTCTTCAGAATCTAGCCATCCATCCTTGCAACCTTCACATCCCTTCGCCGTACCATCACGACAACCTCCGTCACATGAAATGTGGCATTCTATAGTAACACAAAAAACGCTTCGGTCATTTCTCGTTTTGAGCATTCAAAGCCTCAAGTTTATCCTTAGATGTTAAATAGATTGAGAAACTATTAAGGTAACTTAACGGAAATAAGATGTGGCATCAAGTCATTAGGATATCCAACATAATTTCTCATTTTAACTTGAAATTGTAGCTGGCTGTGTAGAACAGATACCGAATTGTGCAGAGGAACGTAAAGCTATGCTTGAAGTAAATCTGCAAGGGCTATTTCATTTACATTTGACAATGAGAAAATTCCGAAAGTGCCAGGTCTTTTCCAAAGACAAAAAACATTGCAAAGCACTACGATAACTAGATAAAAGACTGTACAACTATAACTGATGCATTTGTGTGATAAAATTCAACTACCTACAATAATTTCGTCTCTTGCAGAGTAATTCCTGGTTGAACACATAAATTTGCTAATATAGGGCAGTGGTAGTGTAGCACTCTCGAGAGTTTCTTACCAAGACAGATTAAATGAGAAGCGTTGTTCTTATCTTGATAGTGGCTTTCAGCACACTTGTCACAGGATTCTGAAGTATAACCATCTCTGCATTCACATATACCTTCCCCACTGCGACTGCCTTCCCCCTGAAAATAACTGACTCAATTCACATGATGCTCTCGATGATAACTTCTTTATGAAAAGGGGGAGGGGTGCTACAAATGCCATAATTTTCTTGCTCACTTAGCATAATTGAATCTGATATAACGTACATCTCAATGTACATCAGAAGCAGATCTATACACAAATAACACAATTACATTTTTTCACAATGGAAGCTGTCTCTGTAGAGGGAATATAAAATCGTTTGACTTTTTACGCACTATAAATGTTAGTGCTAGCCTCACACGACACAAACTTACTACGTGAAGAAAGAACAAATAATAGTGCAAGTAAATTCAATAACGACATGATTCTGTTACCTTGCAGTTGCCATTATTTGAGCAAGGGTTCTTTGCTCCGCCAGGGCATTCTGATGAGACACGAATAAATGAAATTTTGAAATATGCTTAAAACTCAAATAATCTTAAAGCACTTCATATTTTTCAAGAAGACAGAGCAGTATAGCACCTGTACATTTTGGTCCAAATGTTCCACTTGGACAGCAAACTAGACAATAAGAAATCAATCATTAACTATGACTAAATAATAATTACTCTTATCGCTATTGATTGAAGAAATTTTATGCAGGGTCAAATACCTTTTATTGTATCAATGCATAACCAAGGCTGTAAGGGAACATTTTTTGATTTCCTAAAACGTACATCGATCATTAATACAGCAATAAATCTCATGAATACAACACATAAATTGTTTACGAAACATCAAAGATGATGCATGTTAATAATATACAAGACAACTTACTGCTTAAACCACCAATGCTCTAAATTATCTTCATGTTCTTCTACCATCGAATGACACTGAAATTAATGTTGGATAAATTCAATAAGTAAGTGCACATTTACATAGATATTGGGTCTTCCCACAGATACACTCTTTAGCAGTAGAAACACCCCAGCGGCCAGTCGAGCATTATGGACACTGGTTCTAAAATATTTGAGACATCTTAACAATAAGGATTTTCTTGCAAAGGCACGCTTGAGCAATACACACAAAATACACAAAAAATCTCAAGCAGTAAGAGTCCCTCTGGCTTTAGTGTCACTGTTACTCTATTGGTAAAAACGCGCAAGGATTTGGGACATCTATACATTTGGCAGCCTAGCAGTAGGGAGATCCTAGCAGGACACCTGTGCAGTACGGGAGTTACCTGTAGGGACACTGTTATATAATAAGTAATCCTCTCCTATACATAAGATTTACAAAAAAATAGGTAAGCAGAACACACGTGGAAGCAGCCCTGAATCCCCAACAAGATGTAAACTGACATTTCCAATTGCTTGCAATGCTTGCATTGGTATGACATCTTGAGTTGTTTGGTTTAGACTATCAGTGAAACAGATCTGGGTTATTGCTTTCATATAGTTAGAGCATTACAAATCTCATTACTCGGTAAGTTTCCATTAACATGTTCTTGTTGGAAGCAGATAAAACTACATCATGTAAGTTTTTTGTTTATATGGACATCCAGTCCAAACATAGAGTTCAATAATAAAGATAGATGCCAATGGGTCAGTCAATCCACCGTTTTCTACTTTCTGGCAATATGGCATAATGGTTGGCCAGCGTACAGGCTACGCACAAAAATGAAAACATTTTGTAGTGCCTGCTACCTGTAATAATTATACCTCAGTAGATGAACATAAACTTTCTATAATATCAACAAGTCTTGTTTCACTATAAAACAACAATAAAAAATTAATTTCAAGTATAGTTATTTGAAATTTTGGTTGACCTGCCAATAATGGTAATGCTTGTTGCTTTTGTTGCATGCTTCAAAGTCATCGCTTGCAAGATGGAACCTGGATATTGAAATGGGCTAAGCTTAATCCTTCTAAAGGTTAAATCTAAATTTGTGGGAGCAAGAACATAAAAGTTACAAAAGAAAGAAGTCCTACGTATTCTTCTTTTAAAATGATGTTTTGAAACTATTCAATTGAAAAGAGTCACACTTGATCAGTGGACAGTGGTATTCCTATACGTGAAATTTGGTCGTGCTATGCAAATTTTCCATGCATCAACACAATAAAACCAATAGATTTCTAATGAAAAGAATAATGGTAATGTTCTGAAATTCAAATAGCATGGCTGAAATTTGTGGTCTTCGTTACGTTACTGATCTTGAATTGAATGTTTTATTTTACCATTTTCCATAAGACAAAAACAATAGAAACGATAAAAACAATTCATCAACAATCCATTGGATTTTCTAATCACACTCCATCCTAGTTTGTCTCTAATACCACAATTTTATATAGTTGCACTGTTAAAACTTCACAACCACACATTGTATTTTACATAATGCACATTAAGCACAAATAGACTTCAGGTTTTTCATACCTGTCTGCCCAGCTTCCCAAACGCGTTTCTTCCCAATCCGTGTTGCCCCCTCCAAAATTGTGCCCCGACGTCCTCTCCATCCCCTGTCAACATCAAGGAGACAGTTAAAGGGCAGTAGTAGTTGTTTGCGTTAGAAACTAAAAATTGCAATTTGACGGAAATCGATGCATACCTCTTTAAATTTCTTAGCTATATCTTTGCACGTTTCGCACTTTTTCTGTTCACATAATGAGGGCGACAGAAACAAAAGAAATGCGAAAGCGAAGTACATTTTACTAGCCGTAACAACCAAATTGGTTCACCGGAAGTAAGCTTTTTGAGCACAATGCGGGAAATTTGGTCGACAAATCCGAAATTCTTCCACAAATAAACAAAATAAAACACACTCATATACGCTTAGGGAAGGCACGAAAAATATCCATCCAAAACAAACGTGGCATTTTCAATTCAAATCTCCTCATTCTATGCATAAAACGCCGCTAAAAACTACCAGTCACAACGTACAGGAAATGATTGCGATAAAAACGACTGAGAACGAAATGAGAAATAGCACAAGCTATTTATAAACAAATCTTTAACAGTGTAGAAATCACTGAATACATCGTTTATTTACTTGCAAAATGTAAAGATCAGTCTCAAAATGTAATACAGCTCAGATCAAGTCGAAATACATCATGCAGGGTAAAATGCTAGTAAAAAGTTACAAACACAAGATGATTGCTTCTTAAATTCTCCCAAGCCACTCTGTAATACTTGTATCGACGTGGTGAGTTTTCACTACGTTGACTCCCACTGACCAATAAAATCATTCCACGTCCATCACGTGTCTCATATCCACCAATCACATGCGGCCACGAGCTGATACGCGTCGCATTTTGGACGCTGGTTGGTAAATTTTGTACATGTGCTTTTCAAAATACTAAGCATTTTACGTTGTATGTGTTCATCAATTGACTATCGAGGAGTGCCAAGCATTTGAATTGCGCGATAGTGTTACGTGTAATTCAACGTTTGAAAATGAAAAAACTGTTATATGTTTTTGGGCTTTGTCTAGTTTTGCTTTAACTTGTGAGTATGAATGCATTATTTCAATTTTAAATTTGATGTTTATACTATATTACTGCCGGAAGTGTAGCGAAATGCAGTACTATTAGATAATTTTCGTCTGCAAAATGCACCATATGGAAGACTTTAAAGCAGGACTTTTGCAAAAGAGTATTTCGTTGATTTTTAGATTGAAAACGAAGCGTTTTTATCCACTTTCAGTAACTTTTAATGTGATGAGCTCAAAATATATGCGTAGTGTTTTTGATTGGAGATAAACAAATTTCAAGGGGCCTTGGAAAACTTTGATCTAAGCACAAACCAAACAGATAATTTTTGTATTTCTTCGAGTCGTTCTTGTTCATGAACTAGCTGGGGGCATGTATATTTTACAGTGACGTGCATTGTACGTGAGAATTTAAAAGGACCGTTGGCCATAGACTCAAAGTAAAGCTCGTAGTTAAGTATTTTAGCGAGAACGTCGTCAATATTTATGCACCTGCTATGAAAGTCTTGAATTTACTTGATAATAAAAGATATACTTTCACATTCAAATAAGCACAAATTGGCTGGAAACGCAAAATTCGTGACAGAAGATTAATTTCAAGTTCTGTGGACAGGAATTGAACCCAGATCATTGGAGGTCATGTTCAATGACCATTCAATTGAGCTACCAGTTCATTTGATGGATTGTCAAATTTTTTTTATCTACTTATTAGCAACAGGATGAGTACATTCTGCTTAAAACAAATCATATGGTGTCTGTGGGATTTGAACAAAGGGTGATTTATGGTCAACCTGACTAATGATGCAAAAAGAGAGAATGTTTTTTCAAGAAATACAACCTGGTTAAAAAATGCAGACTTAGTGAAATTGATTATTGGTGTTATTTGATTAGGAAATGTGTCTTTCACCTTTGTAGCTCAATGTCGTGCAGATGAAAATACAGCAAAGCAAGACGAGGCTGAGCCTGAACCTTCGACTGTTGAGGAAGACATTGGCAAGAGCCGAGATGGATCAAAGACTGATGATGAAACTGTTCAGAGGGAAGAGGAAGCCATCAAACTTGATGGGTTGAATGTTGCACAGATGAAAGAACTTCGTGAAAGGCAGAGAAGCATGCTTTCCAAGCCGAAGTCAGTCGCATGATGAAACTGATTATCAACTCATTGTATCGCAACAAGGAGGTCAGTCCAGAGAAGAGACTTTTTGAGTTTTGAGTTTTGATGAGCAGAATGTCTCAGTTCATGAAAAGTTTTTCAAATTGAGTTTTTCATCCTATAAAACAAGCTTTCTGTTTTTAGATTTTCCTCAGGGAACTTATCTCAAATGCATCCGATGCCTTGGATAAGATTCGCTTTTTGTCACTCACGGACAAGTCTGCATTGGCTGCCACTGAAGAAATGTCCATCAAGATAAAAGCAGATAAGGACAACAATGTGTTGCATGTAACTGACACAGGTATTGGAATGACAAAAGAAGAACTGGTGAAGAATCTTGGTACCATTGCAAAGTCAGGAACAAGCGAGTTTTTATCCAAGTTACAGGTAGGAATTGCTAAAAATAATTCGTCAGGTAGATTGTTCTTTGAACGCTTTGAACTTGTTAAATGACCAATAGATACTGCACGTTAGCTTGTGCTAACTATTGAGGGTAGGATTGTGCTAACTCTTCTCTGAACAGTCTGGTATCTTGAAACCAGGCTTAACATTCCAAGATTGCAAATTTTCACACTTGTCTTCATCATACTTGTGTCCTAGGATTCTCAGGCAGACAGCGCGAAATCCAGCGATTTGATTGGCCAGTTTGGTGTTGGTTTTACTCGTCGTTCTTGGTTGCAGATCGAGTCATTGTAACAAGCAAACATAACGATGATAAACAGTATGTCTGGGAATCGGATGCTGCCTCGTTTAGCGTCACCGAAGATCCGCGTGGTGATACGTTGAAACGCGGTACGACCATAAGGTATGAAGATTGCACTGAGAATGTTTGTCATGGAACCATATCACAGTTCTTGAGTAACACATGCTAGCTTTATTGAGAGACGATCATTCATCATTACACTGTAGTTGAATGAATGAATGAATGAATGATCAGTTTGCTTTTCATTACTCGCGATAATTAGGCATGTATGAAAGAAATGATTTTTGATTTTTGTACCAAGCGCTGAAACCAGTTCCTTTTTCAAGAAATGATTTTCTTTCTATTTTGAGTCGTGTTTTTCCATTGACCATATTTCTGTTCTAGCATGTTCTATTCCGTCCTTTTCCGTTTTGTTCATTTGTGTTCTTATAAATTATAATTCATTTAGCTTGCATCTGAAAGAGGAAGCTCGCAGTTTCCTCGAGGAACACACGATCAAAGATTTAGTGAAGAAATACAGTCAGTTCATCAACTTCAACATCTATCTTTGGACGAGCAAGACCGAAACGGTCGAAGAGCCGATCGAAGAGGAAGCTGAACCGGAGAAAAAAGACGAAGAGAAGGCAGACGAAGAGAAAAAAGACGATGAAAAAAAAGACGATGAAAAGAAAGATGACGAAAAGAAAGATGACGAAGAAGCAGAAGTTGAAGAGGCAGAAGAAGACAAAGACAAAGAAAAGAAACCGAAAACCAAGAAGGTATGTTGACCAGGTCCTTGCTCCTCGATCGTTAGCTAGGCGGTCTCCAACTTTATCTTAAAGTTTTTTTTTAATTTAACTACAAGTAAAATTAATCTCGTTCCGTCTTGTCTTGCAGGTGGAAAAAACAACTTGGGATTGGGAATTGATGAATGACACAAAACCAATTTGGTTACGTAAGCCAAAAGAAGTGAGCGACGAAGATTACAGTAACTTCTATAAGTCATTCAGCAAGGTAAATAGCATTACATTTGATGTTGTGAGGGACGATTGTAGGGTCGATTTAAATAAACACTTTGAAATACATCGCTTCAGAGAAAACTGTTTTCTTTTTCAATCAAACTTTATCAAAACAATTTAGCTCGGCGAAGTATGATATCAATTCCAAGCAATTTTAACGATCGAAAGGACTTCTCTTCGAAAAATATAGCTCCTAGCTTCGATTTACAAACTGACGAGAGTTCGTTCTTTTTTGTTAATTCTAGGACAGCGATGATCCACTAGCAAAGGTTCACTTCGTTGCCGAAGGAGAAGTCACATTCCGATCCATCCTGTTTGTCCCAAAGACTTCCCCCGGTGGTATGTTCAACGATTACGGCAAGCATACAGACCACATCAAATTGTACGTGCGCCGCGTCTTTATCACGGACGATTTTCAAGAGATGATGCCGAAATACCTTGGATTCGTAAAAGGCGTCGTTGATTCGGACGATCTTCCTTTGAACGTTTCCCGAGAAACGCTCCAGCAACATAAACTGCTTAAAGTCATCCGCAAGAAGTTGGTGAGAAAGGTACTGGATATGTTCAAGAAAATGTCAAAGGACGACTACATCGAGAAATTCTGGAAGGAGTACAGTACAAAGTATGAACGACTTTAGTTGTTTTGTTGTTACGTTACTTGAAGCGATTATACATAATATAAATCATTGTATATAATCCTTAGGATTTATATTATGTATAATCTCTGATGATTTCTTGAAAGCTGTTCTTCCAATCAATGTCGTCGTTCTAAAACCCTTCCACTGTGAATTTTTATAAATCATTCAACCAATTCTCGGAGTTAACTAATAGTTTAAAAGCGCATCTCTGAATCGCTGCATTCTCTGATTCGATGTTCTTTTTAGTGTGAAGCTTGGTGTAATCGAGGATCACTCGAACAGAACGCGTCTTGCAAAACTGTTGCGTTTCCAGAGCTCCAACAGCAAGACCGATTACACGAGTCTTGCTGAATATCTTGAGAGAATGAAGGAGAAGCAAGAAGTCATATACTTCATGGCGGGCGGTTCACGTGAGGAGGTATGCAAGCATCTCGAAATTATCGACATCATCAAAAAAAGACTATAATATGTTCAATAGCCAGTTCACAAAATCGTGTGGCGTAATCATCCAAACAGGGAGACCTTTTTCCATGTTTCACGCACTCATCTTGTTCTTTTCTACGTAGGTGGAGAAATCTCCATTCGTGGAACGGTTATTGAGGAAAGGTTACGAGGTCTTGTATCTTATTGAGCCGGTCGATGAATACTGCATACAAAGTCTACCCGAGTTCGAAGGCAAGAAGTTCCAGAATGTCGCGAAGGAAGGATTGAACATCGAGCAATCCGAGAAAGCAAAGAAGAAATTCGAAGAACTGGAAAAGACCTACGAACCTTTGTTGAAATGGATGAAGGATGACGGACTGAAGGATCTAATCGAGAAGGCAGTGCTCTCTCAGCGTTTAACAGATTCTCCCATGGCTTTAGTTGCAAGCAGCTACGGATGGTCCGGTAACATGGAGAGAATAATGAGATCTCAGGCGTACGCAAAAGCCAAAGATCCCTCTCAAGAGTAAGTAGGAACGCACGTGTTTCTGAGTGAAATGCCCCTCCCTCCTTCCCAATCGCTTTTTGCCATAAAATGTTCTCACCAAAGTTACTGTTTTAACTTATCCTTGTCAAAAAGCAATAACCTTTTTTGTCTAACAGCAACATTTTCGAACAGTTGTTATGTAAACATTTACAAGGAGCAGAGAGGATTCTTTTCCAATAAAGTGTCCGCTTTCAAAATTTTGGTTTTATTCAGTAAATGATGACCTTCATTATTCCCACTTTTATTTTGACCAGTTATTACGCCAACCAAAAGAAGACATTGGAGGTGAATCCGAGACATCCGCTGATCAAGAAACTCTTGGACCTGGTGGAGAAAGACGCTTCTGATCAATCTGCAAAAGATTTATCTCGTTTGATGTTCGAAACTGCAAATATGCGATCTGGTTATCAACTTAAGGTAGTTTTTGATGAATGTCATTTGCTTAGCATTGAAAAGCCTCGAACATGGTTCTTTAAGCGCTTGTAAGGATTCTAGATTTTGCGCGACTCAAGTCTAAAGTCTGTCTGTTTTCATTCCTTCAGGATTCCTCTGATTTTGCTTCGCGTATCGAGCGCATGCTTAAATTAAGCATGCAAATGGACCCCGATGCCAAACCTGAAGTAGATGAGGAAGATGAAGAGCAGGAGGCCGATGAAAGTAAAGAGGTCGAAGCAGAAAGCGAGGAAAGCGATGAGAAATCGACTGATTCTGAAGGAGAGGTGATAAAGGTGAAGAGACGACGGAAACGGATACAACTAAAGATGAACCGGAAAAAACGGAAGAAACTGCCGAGGAGAGCGGTAGCGCTGGCGAAGATGAAACAGTCGATGAGGTACACGTGAATTCAAAGCTATAACACGTACATTGTTGGTTTTTTAAATTATGAAAATGATTTTTCTTGTGGGGTTTAACCTGTGTTCTTTCATTGTTATATAGACAAAGAAAAAGACAGAGTTATAAACACTGTCCACGGTGAATAGGATAAGATCTAGTGAAGATGAAAAACATTTAAATTATTTCTTCGATAGCAACTTCCCGATCTCGTGACTCTCAATGTTTTCGATAGCACAAATGATGTGGAAGACACAACCTAGTCGTCGAAAAATTTTAAGAGCGATTCTTTAATAAGTGTGAACGCATATCATCGTTTCAACCGTTACGTGTGTATGGATGTTTACTGTTTTATTTTATTTGAACGTTTGAAACCTTCAGTAAATGAAACGTGTTAACGAAACTGATGCGTTTCGTGTGTCTTCAATATTTGCAGTACGTTTCATGTGCTGGAAATGCGCTATTGTATACGTTTGAAATTAAAATAAGTTGATAATTTGTAATAAATAGAGCACTTGACTTTGGTTTCGTGTCATGAACGACGATATTGACTAACGAGTGACATTAATAATAAAGTAAATGGTTTGAACCCGGGAGTATCTTTACATGTTTGTAAATGTGGATCGTCCAGGTTGGTAAAGTCCTGAGAAGGACTGTTTTTGTTGTTGTTGACTGACGTTTCGAAAGCCTTAGCGGTACTCATCTTCAGAGTCAAAAAAAAATTGAACTCATTTTTGACTCTGAAGATGACTACCGCTAAGGTTGTCGAAACGTCAGTCAACAACAACAAAAACAGTCCTCAGGACTATACCAACCTGGACGATCTACATTTACAAAGAGATTAATGACATTTACGAAAATCGTCTTTTGTTGAAGAACTTTTCGATACTATATGTCCATATTTCTGCTCACTTGTAATTATGCAAGGATATAAACTGTTTCTAAAGATAAATACAACTCAAGTTTTAAATAAGAAAGAGAAGGAATCGGGTATGATTTTAGCGGCATTATACAGCCTTCCACATAGGAAGAAACATGTTTATTTGACCATAATGGTCTTCGAAGCAACCTTCATGACCACTTACAAGCAATGAGCACGTAAATAATCAGTTTAGAACATTCTTGATATCGTATTTAGCCAATTTATACATGTAAACAAGACCACCACCCATTGCTCGCTTGCATGTTAGACGGTGAAAGGACATTAACTGCTTCAGTTCATCACATGGCAGATCTATACATGCAGGAAAATTTATCACAAAACAGTTCTAAATTCCTCGAGTATCTCCAGTATAGTCTTTCAAAGACCTTCGATTTATTTCAATTTTCTTTTCTCTTTTTTTGTATCAAATAGAAACAATCGCTTCAACTTGTTCTCTTTGAAAATTGTTTATTAAAATGACAAATTACTATGCGTGAATTAAGAGAATAGATTTCTGTTTGGATCATTGCCTGCAATACGATTTTGTACAAATGAGAATGCTATTTGAATTATTATACAATTATTTCAATTATTGCGATTTATCATTAATCACTCGATGGCGACCATCGACATTTTATTGTAAAGAATCTGCATTCAAATCGTTGCTACTAAATGACGAACGAATTACGCAGTGCATAGTGGCATAGCCACGTGTTTGAGAATTTCATGTTCCTTCCGCATTTCGAAAGCTGTTTTTCCCTACGCTATCCAAATACAACTACCAAAATGCTTTTCGAACGTCTCATATCGAGTAAAAACTTCAAGGGCATCGTGGTAGCTATATTCAGCAAAAGGAAACCTAGTTATTAAGTGGCAAAAACAAAATCATAAAAATCAAAAGATTTGCCATCTTGTGTTCCGCGTTAAAAGCGGCAAATCTTTCGATGGTTCAACGGTTCTGTTTTCAAAGAGCGAGCTCTCTGAACTACGAAAAAAAAGATAACTAAATGCTACGTCTTATCTGTGTCATCTTTGAAATCTTTCAATGTTTCCATGGTTTGATTTTTCGTCAACATGTCCATGTCCTACGTGGGGAAAGATAAACAAATCACACGTAAGTACCCCAATCAATACCTTTTGGGATTGTTGAGAGGAATCTATTTCATTAATGTCACAACTTGATACGTCAAAAGGCCATTAGATGTATAGATGTCATAGTATAGTGAATATACAGTATAGCCTCTCCACTCAATTTTTTCGTGCCACGCATATCCTATTACGCACGAGATAACCATGGTGGCAGCTAGTCTATTGCTTTTTTTGGCCAACAGGAATGATGAAATGGCAAACGGCAACCAGCAATCTAATTAAATATGCTGCAGCCAGTTGCACACGAAGTGGACCAACTGTATATTCCCTATACTGTGGTAGATGTATCGGACTGGCCTGGAAATGTCCGACAGCGCAGGCACCGGGAAACTTTTCACTGAATTTCACCGAATGCAGGAAATATTTTCACACAGAGCATTTTCGAGAATGTACAGTAGATTTCGAAGAGGTGTATATCAAAACGTAAGGCAGATCTGACCATTTTGCAAAATGAACAATTCCATCAAACAATTCCAATGCCTTAACCAGGAACTACTAACTGAGATTTGCAGCTACTAACTTTGTTTTGAATAGATATCAATTAAAAATTCTCAGCAAATTCTTTATAATTTCCTGCCAGGAAGTGCAATACATATCCAAGCCTGACTTTCATGTAACTCAAACCAATAATCTACTGCTAATAGATCGGTTCCGTTGTGTCCAAAAGACGCTAATGGCCCCGTTTTGATTGAGAGCAATTAAACCACCTCGACTATCAAATAAAAAAAGGTTTTGCTATCGAAAGTACCTTCTGCATTTCAATATTTTTCATCAACGTTTCCTCCAACATTCGCTGAAGTTTCTTGTTTATATCCTTCAACATGACCTCCTGTTTCCCCATGTTAAATGTCCCTTTCATTCGCGATTTGAAGTTTGATTCATGTGGACTAGAAATGTCTTTGCCTCCATCTGCAAAGACGAAGAGAAATGTACATGAACTTTCACAGACAAACATGATAGAGAAGTTGCAATCAAAGCAAAAAATCTTTAGAGTTGTACAAACTATGAAAACAAACCGATCTTCGCCTCCATGGCGTAATGTTGAATGACAGCCGCCTTCCTCATCAAATCTTCGGCCATTGCTGATGAATTTTCCTCGAGATGACGAACCTTAATATTTGATAAAACAGCTATACTTCGAAAGTCATTCTCAATGTCAACGCTAAAAATACAACTTTTCCTTTTCAAAAACATGCTCAAATTACGTCATCCAAATTTAAGCTCCCCCCCCCCTACTTTCCTACTTTCTTGGTTGTCCTTAACCATGCTTTATGTTGCTTTATTTTACCATATCTTGGTCAGTTTTCATCAAGTTTCAGGTTCACAGTTAAAATTATACACAAGAAATTTCAACGAGGGAGTTTTTAGAGTGAAAAAAATGAAAATTCTGTCAATTGTATATTAGTAGTATAGGCTCAAAAAGTCTCCAAAACAATACCAACCCGCTCTTCGAGTTGCCATTTCTGCTGCTGTAAGTCAGCCACGCGAGAAATGAGATCGAGAGTTTCGTCACTGACGCTCGCCACTTTAAATGGGGAGTCTGGACTAGGTTCTTTTGATATATCCTGAGAATCGTTCGTGACGGAAGATCCGCTGAGCATCGACGAGTCTCTGCAAGAAAATCAAGATGTTACAACAAAAAATTGTTGTAATTATGTCCCCAATTGCCTGCGAAATCCTCAAGTTTATGACGTCAAAACTATATACTCATACCCACTATTCCGTCGCGCATTTTCTCTGCTAACATTTCCATCGTAAAGCTTCTCGAAATCTGAAATCAAGCTCGTAAATATAAACTCGTACATTGGATTTATTCACTAAATTTTACTTGCCGATAGTCGACAAAAGAATTAATATTTTAAATCGAGCTGATATCATATTTGAGCGCAGCGCCAATGTATAAGAGAGTAAGTACGAAATGCATTCTTATCACGTTTTAGTCAATGATATAGAACCCAGTGTTCGAGATGTCTAAGTACCGTGTCAAGATGATGCAAGGCGCCATCTTGAAAGGTGGCAAAAAGCTAAACTCAAAATGAAAAATAAGTTAAAACAAAGTTTAAAAAACCTATCCTATCAAATATTCAAAAATCAAACCTAGACTATCAAATTTGCGACTCTATATCAACTCAGGAAAAGCAGATATTAGTCGTAAATATCGTCAGTTTGAGTTTGCCTCACTCACTATACTACTATACAATATCGGAGGAGTCAGGTATCTAGTAGACTGGGTTCTAGGTCATTGGTTTTAGTTCATGAAAGCGACAATAACGTACTTTCTCGAGCTCTGTTCTCTGAACAAGCTTCCTGCAGTCTCTGCTGCAGCTGCTCCGATTTCTTTCGCTCGATCTTCAATTGTCTTTTCAAATCCTTCACAAGTTGATCCCTTTCTTCCCTGCTATCACATTTTCGACGTCTTTGTCTTTGATTTCTTGTTTGAATTTCTCTAACAGATTTTGTTGCTCCAGTTTCTCAGCTTTGATTACATCAAGTTTCTCGTTCAACTCCTAATGTAGTAACAGAAAAACTTCATCAAGACATCTTAGGCTTTCTACACATTAATTAAAATAATCCAATAAAGACTGGACAATAAAGATGATGGCATGTGGATCACATCTGATTCTTATCAGGCAGAAATTAGTGTAAAAGGCCGTTGAAGGTTATTTAATCAGCTCAACTTTATGAACAATTGCCACACTTGTAGTGTCCTCAGAGGGACGTCTTTCATGGCTTCGTAAGATGTCCATGAAAAACGAATCGGATGCCATAGACATGCCGCCGTCTTTTGTGACGGTCAATCGATTCTCACCTCTACTTCCACCGCATGTTTCGCTAACGCTTCGCTCAATTGAATTTCACTTTCTTTGGTTAGTTCTTCGACTTTTTCCGCGTAATTTTTTTTCTCGTCACTCAACATTTCCTGCAGAAAAAGCGGCGAGGAGTGAGACATAATGACTGTTGATTTTTGGTCAACGTCAAAAACAAAATAATTGTATGTTGCAACAACAAACATAACACTGAAAATCTCATCTCATCTCATTTTACAGCACCTCAGTTTCCGTCAACCGTCTTTCAAACCATCCACTCTTGCTTTCCATCGAGGTCAGTTGCGTTGTGATGTCTGCAAGCTGTTGTTGAGATTCTGCCAGGTCTTTCTTTAATTTCTATTAACGAAAAGTGCTTGAACCTAGTATGACTAAAAACATAAATCATCGCAGGAGGATAGTAAGGTTTTAAAGTCATCCATCGTATTTTTCTTATACTTTGCATACTTTCATCGTATGCTTCGCATCGTCCTTAAAAGTATTATTTTTTCTGAGGAAAATAAAATCCATCCATTACATGCACCTTGCCACATTCTTCCACGGGAATACACCATGAAAATGCATGGAGGTGTTGATAACTAACTTCAAAATATGCACCTTTTCTCCTTGAAGCTGAGCCTTTAAATCATCGATCGTTTTCTACAAAAAAGTTACAAAGCAAATTCTTCAATTTCATTCATCTCTTTTAAGGATTGTAGGCTTTCGTGCGAAAACAAATTACATTTTAATGTGCACTGTGGCAATCTGAGAGAATTTAATGCTACCTTGAACTCGTCTTCACTGCTTTTGGCATCCTCCTTAAAACTTGTTTCTAACTTTTCTAGTTGTTCTTTATGTTCAGTAACAAGCTTCTGCTGCTCGATGGCCAACTCATCCAGCATCTGCTTTCGTTTCTCAGCCAACTAAAACAGTAAAATAGAATCGTCACACATCAGTCGGTCGTTTTTGTTGAACAACAAAATGGAAGACGCAAGTCTGTGGCTGAGCAACAGAATAAATCTCATTTATACACAAGGAATTGAACTAAAAACTGGAATTGTACTATTAAGTACGCATGAACACACTTCTACACGAGTGTCTGGAGGAAAAGTCTTGTATTTTAGCTAACTGTATTAACGAATCCACTTTTGGCCGAGTTAGGAAAGATTGGGGATGGTTGAATTGCTGGCTTAAATTTTCGGAAGAAGGTAGCCTTCCAGTTATATTCAGTTCATTGTTGACGCCATATATTGCTTTCTTAATACTAAATTCACGTAGTTCCTCTTATATGGAGATAGAGCGAGAATAATGTATTAAAGGTCAAGATTTACGATCAAAATTATGCCGGAGAACTTTATAAATTGAAGATCTTGAAATGTCATCGTTTTACGTTGTAGAAATTACTGATATCGAGCCTGTTACTTTCACTATAAAACTTTACTTGCGTGCCCTCTGTGAGACCATTCCATTACCTTAGCAGAATCGTTGGCTTGTTGTATATATTGTTGGTGATCGTTCATAGTTTCATCGGCCTGTCTTCGCAAATGTTCGTAACTCAATTTGGATTCCTTTTGGAACGGGAATATTCGATGAATATATGTGCATATCACTGATCTCTACTGACAAAAAGGCCTCGAAATTATTAGAAAAAGGCGGGTAAACAACTCCTTCTCGTAGCCTCGAGTTTTGAGACATACGACCCTCCACAGTCCACAAGTAAGAGTTTTTAAAGCAATTTGAAGGGGGGGAGTCAAATAATTATTGTGAGAAGATCCAATCCATGTTTTTGAGGACGAACTGGGCAGCAATAAAATAAAACTATGCAAATAATTTGAATGAAATGTAACGCTAATTGTATAGAGCTCAGTGATTCCTATGCACGATTAGTGTAGACCATTGAACAAAAATACTTGGAACGCAACCTGTAATACAAATCCCTAATAATTTTTTGAAGCTGTGATTTTACCCCAGACAAGCGCGTGTAGCAACAATTATTACTCCGCGAGAGAATCTCGAAACACTATACACGCGTGTCTGGGGTGAAAACTCGCGTGCCTGATGTAATATTCGGCTTCAGTTATTTGCTTCAGGTAGCGTTCCATGTATTTTAGTTCAATGGTATAGACTGAGCAGAGTTTTTTTTACAGCGATTTACCCCCAGTTCATCTTTCAATTTCTCCTTTTCCGCTTTCAAGTTGGCTTCTCTGCGTTCGCAATCCTTTGTTTTCTCCTGCAGAGCCAGTAGCATGGCCTGTAAATGAAGGAGCAGCCGCGCATGTCAATGCAGTCGTATATACGCTACTACGGTTCAAAGATGTTCAGTAAAAGTAATAGTGAAGTTCGCAAAGAGTGATGGGTAATTTTCAAACCTTCTGATCTTCAGTTTCGACGCGATAAGATTCACATGCCTGTCACAAAAAGCAAACATGGAAAGGACTTAGCAACGTCGAAACTAATTAAAGGCTACATTCCACTTTCAACAAGTTAACACGAAGTATGTGTAGTATCGCTTCCGCTGAGCAGTGTAACATAAAAACGTGACACAAAATACTTTAAAAAGTATCGAAGGAAGCTGTTAAATCATAAAAATATCAAATTGCGTTGAAAAAAATTGCAGTCAAATAATGACAAACTGCGACTTTTCACAAAAAGCAGCATCACACGGTAAGCTTAAAGTCTAGCATTTAATACCCAATTGTACCTGATCAACAAATCATAAAATACACCAATTGTCAACCTTACATTTTAAGGAATTTACATGATATAGATATATTATTATTGATAGATAAAGATACAACTTGTCAGGGACTAAGATTCATTCAATATAAGATTTCTAGAAACTTAAGATAATTCAATAATTACGTTTATCGCTTAACTAATCAGAAACTCCTTTGCTTTTGCATCTACTCAATCAAATACAACTTTATGAAATAGCCCTTTATGGTCGCGATTATGGATAAAGATTCGTAGCATATAATACGCCTGTCTAGGATAATGTGCATCAAAATACGTATCTCTACATCATGTTTTGTTGTAGTTTCTCATGGAAACAGGATTGTCTGACGACTCTCTCGGGCCTGCTAAGGGTCGTTGCATTTCAGTCCCCCTAACTTGACATCGTGCGGATGAACTGAAACGGGAGAGGGAGAGACGATGTCGAGCAAGCAAGAATCAATTACATTGAACGGACTCAATTGAAAAAGAATGAAAGCTGGAAAAGATCGAGAATTTTTTTCGTCTAAATTACGAGAAACGTATTTTGATGTTCCAGCCTGAGAAAACAGGCAAACTAAACCAGATATCTAGAACCCAATCCCCTTAATGTCTACCTACCATGTCAAGGTGAGGCAAGGACGCCATCTTAAACGCTGGCAGAAAGCAAAACTCAAAATGAAAAACAAGCTAAAAGAAGTTTTAAAAACCTAATCCTATCAAACATTATAAATATCAAACCAAGACTATCAACTTTGCAACTGTATATCAACTCAGGAAAAGCAGATTTTAGTCTTAAAGGTTTTTCAGTTTTGCCACCTTTCAAGATGGCGGCTTGCCTCACTAGTAATTATAGAATTTCGACAGAGTCATATATCTAGTAGTTTGGGTTCTAGGTCATAGAACTAAACGCATTATAATCTTATAGACTAAACAAGAGAACTTAAGGAAAGGCTTTGCAGTGAAAACATTAACAAATGAGACAAGTTCATTAAACGTACCTCCTGCAAAGACTGCAATTGTTCCGATAACGATATGTTTTCGATTCTATAAGAGAAAACAGACAGGGATAAACACATATATTCAGACAGGCACGACGATCGACTAAATTCTAAAGTCAAAAACGAAAATTTATTAACTCGGCATCGAAACTGCAATGTAGGATTATTCCAATAATTCAGTCTATAGTGCATATGGAGTTTTTGTGATGTGCAAGTTACAGAATTTAGGAACAATCCTACTCTGATTTACATTCTTTACAGTTCATAGTTTCACATGTTAACATGCACACAATGATGTTTAAAAGAAAGTCGATAACAATTTTAAAAGATCTTTTATACTTATGAAAATGAAAAAAATTGTGTCAAATTCACTTTTTGAAATGATCGCGGAAATTGCTATGCATTGGACCCAGACTTCGCACAACACGTATTCAGAGTGCTACCTATTTGCCTTCATGAAACAACACAAACCTGACATTATCTAACTCTTGAACGGTTTCCTCGACATTAGATGAAGCCTGCGAGAGGAGTTAAAATATATAATAAATATTATGTCAGTAAATTTGGCTGCAGTTGCAAGATGGTCGGCGAATATTTGATGCGAATACCTGATTTTCTTGTACCAGTAATCTTTCTTTTAATTCGTTTATCTTTGTTTCAGACGTTTGTTGAAGGTCCGTAAGCTCCTAAGAACATGGAAGCAAAATTTCGTGCCAAATACACACTGGGAGCTGGGAAAACACTTTCCTACAAACAAAAAGAAAACATGCACGATTCTCATAAAACCTACCTTCTTGACAGCATCTAAGGTTTTCCTAAAATGTTCGACCTGTTGAGTAAGATTCTAAAACACATCAAGGTACAAAAAACTTCCATGAAAATCAAATAAACATCATTTGTATGCTGAAAAGCAGCGGTCACATATAGCACAACAAAATGATCAAAATTAAAGCTTTTAATTCCTTATAAAGAGATACCTTGATTTCGTTCGAGTGCGCAAGTTTTAAATCTTCGATGATTTTTCTTTAAAAGAAAAAGCATTCTTTTGATTAGAAATGTAAGGTCAGATTGCTTGCGCGTGGCTTTCTCGAAGCAGCCGATAAGTTTGCTAAACGGATTCATCAAACATTTTCTTACCGATTGTCGTTGAACAAATTTTCCTTCTCGTTTTGCAACTGAACGAAACTGCAAGCAAAATAGTTTCTCAACAGCCGTCGTGACAAAACTCCGTGGGGAACTATTTTCGTCAGGGGGTGTTGATGTAACAACCATTCAAAAAAATACAAACGAAAACGAAAATCTTTACCTTTCCTGTTTCTTCTTCGCTTTCTCTGTCAGCTAAAACGTACGCTATTAACTACTTGACGTGTTCAATAAATCATTTTACACATTCATAATTCAATCTTTCAAACTGACCTTTGCAACCTCACCCTCAAGAGACGAGATTTCTTTTCTTAAATTGGCCTATGGTGATAAACAAAATAATGACTTTCCTTTGTACATCAAATGAACAAAATGCGGGCGTAATTTCTTCATGAGCACAAGCCAAAATAAACTTAGCATGCAAGTGCAAATAAGTTCATGAAAAGACGGGAGAAAGGTGTTGATGCGAGCATTTAGATGAAAAATTTGTCCTCAAAATGTTCCCCTTTTTCTCCTGAAATTAAATGCACAAAAAAATTTCGTTTTGTTACTACTTAGTCAAATTCTGAGCTTAAAAGGAAAAAAATTTGATTGAAATTCATTAGCTAAATTGCATGCTGGCCGAGAAGATTAAAACTCGGCTCTTTGAAAACGATGATCTAAGTCCCAACGTACGTCTGAGGCTGTCAATTGTTCCTCCAGGATTTTTTTCTCTTCTCTTTCCGTAGCCAATTGCAACTGAATTTCTATCGAAGTCATAAAATCGAGAGTTATTTGTTTGTATGCATCCATTCGAAACACTTTCTTCACAACAATAAAGACGTAAAACTATCGACAAACCTTACTTACCGACAAGCTGAGCTGTTGAATTGCCGTTAGCCTTAAAGAAAACAAAGATTTGGCTGATGAAAATATACGTGGACATTCGAAACCCTTTATTATACGTATATACAAAGTATAAAAAACGGGTTCGAAGATCAAGAAAAGTGTTGAAAAATCACGAAAAAGAAGTGCCATGTTCAAAATAAGTGTACAAAATCGTCAAAACGTCCCCATCAACAAAGTAAGATGCAGTTGACTTTTAGGGGGGAGGGGGCGCAAACTTCTCAACCTTTTCGTAAAACGCACATCAACAAGGAAATAATGGTAAAGCCAGGCCAAAGTGGACAATTACTGCTTACGTTTTCACGATCTCCAAATGATTTTAGTAAGTTTAATTGTTTACATGACTCCATTAGTCGATCAGTAAACTAAATGAAGCTGCCAAAAAACCGAAGCTGTCAAGATACAATCATTTTCGTGTTCCTAAGTCGGAGAAGCTAGTAGAATGTTTTTTCAAGACATTTCATGTACGACATGCAGGAATCGTACAGCAGATATGGCCGAAAATTTCATTGTTTAAAGTCACACATGGAGATACGCAGTACAAATTTCCTGCAAACGCAATGTCTTAATGCTTGGAATCACCCCAAAACTACACAAAATAGATAGTCTAGCACCGCACAAGCTGAAAGTTTGCGTTGCTCAACGCGTACATAGTTCAACAAATACTACAAACCTCAATTGATGTTCCAGAAGAGTTGCTGAAATTCAAAACATCGGCTGTAAACAAAGATGTAGAAAGAAAAATGTAAAAATACGCCAATCGAATGAGCTTAGAATGGATTACTTAAAGCATCGATTAATATTGTTAAATGTTTTTACGACTACTTCACTCAGTATTCGTATTTCGTAAGCTACCACACAGTGAAATTCAGGAGTATATTGTTAGAAATGCTATAGGATACATGAGATAACCGCATCAATACTCGTACGTAAATACTTGACAATGCATTAAAATACGCAAGACAAAATACATTAAAAACAATACATAAGAGTACAAAAGGGTGTATAAGAGTACAAGAGAAAGCTACACTACAGAACATACATGGAAACAACAAAGAAGAAGAAGTGTAAAAACTAAACGGTAATACAAAACATTAGAATATATATACGTACATGATTTCATGAAAATGCAAGAGATTATACGAGTATAAAATAAAGGAAAGAAACGTTAAAATACAAAAATATATATATACGAATACGATACAGGAGAATGCTTTGCGTTAGAACAAAAAAATGCCAGATGAAAACACGAGAACAAATAAGGAAACTGTTCGATACAGCAGAATACACAAGAAAAAATGATAAAAAATACAGGGAAAAACAAATCCATTTACAAAGTGAATGCATCAATCACCTTTCTCCTTCAAAAATGACATAACTTCGCTTTCAATAGACTTCTTCAGTTCCTCAAGATTATCTTGCACCGAAGGTTCCTCATCACCTATAGGATCTGACGTTTCCACTGATTCATCATTATCCACAGCGGTCCCCTCTTGTCTGATGCTCTTACGAAATGCTTCAAATGTCTCATTTAATTTATCGATAAGTCGCCCGAAATCTTGCTTAAATCTAGTTCACGTGTCTTATCAAGAGCATTAGAGTTGGCCAAAACATCTCCTTCGGCCGAATCGCTATTGTTGTCGGTTTGCTGTTCGCTGACTTGGCGGCTTTTCTGAAGAACAGCATTCTCGGCTTTGAGCCGTCTTATCTCAGCTTCGTAAGTCGAACCACCGTCGCCTTCTTTTCCCGACTTGAGGTTCTTTATTTCGTTGAGTAATTTTTGGTTTTCTTCTTCGATCTAAATGAATAATCACAAGACGAAAAGTTGTCAATTAGTAAGTGTTGAAGGAATATTATCGGTAGTCACAATGGCAGGCGAAATAGTTAAGCTATTGTTATTATTCGCGACGCAAATCACAACTAAGTATGGAACAAATGTATCGATAGATTTTTAGAAAACCATTTTGAAAGTCAACAAAAAAATTTTTCAAGAATGATTTTCAACTGGTTAACACAGACCGTACAATTTTATGCTAGGATGACTAGAGGCAAAGACATAAAGAATAGGTGCAAAATGAAAAATCGCGAAACTGGATGTGGCAATAATTGGTTGAATATAATCTTCCCTTACCCTCGTAACCTCTTCATGTAATGTTCTATTTTGCAATTTAAAATTTTCCTCGTGATCCTACAAAAAATCGTCTTCCATCAAACAACAAGAATCATTGGAAACAAAAAGATAACACAGATGTATCAGACGTAACACAATTTCTCATCGAACAAGAATCATTTTGCACAAAAGATAACATAGACATAAGTTACACAGATATGTCAGAGGTAACACAGTTTTTCATCAAACAAGAATCATTTAACACAATAGTAACACGGATGTATGTAGCACAGATCCATTACAAGTAACATGTCTATCATCAAAGCATGTGAATATATATGTACATAGGATATAACACAGCTATATGTAGCATTGCATGATGGATGCATTGATGACAAAAGAGAAGATTCCATACCGTTAAACGATGCTGAAGACCCTCATTTTCTTCCAAAAGCAAAGCATATTCCTAAACAAAACAATTGTTACAGACGAACATTGAAGTGCTCTAGGTTGTCATGACGATATTTACCTTTCTATTTTTACTCTTTTGAATTATCTTGAAAAGAAAAGTAGAAAAGAAGTTAACTTCCTGCCATGATGGCAAACAAATGTTCGAGAAAAATCCAGGAATACTACCTTGTTACTCTTTTCCAATTCTTTTTCGTATTGGGAACATTTTTCTCGTAATTGCTCCAATTCTATTTTGAAGAATAAAAAAGATTCAAATTTCACCACAATAGACACTTTTATTCAAAAGGCAGAAGTGTTCAAATCCCTAAACTACAAAATCATATCACTTCAGGTATAAAGACACATAAAATAAATCATAAAACTGTTTCACATGAAGGCTATAAAGTGGAATGTTTGTGGATGAAAATTATAACTTCGCATTACCTCAGATATGCTTACACTAAGAAAAAACATGCAACAATCAGTAGTCAAGAGACACTGGAGAGAAGAATATTCGAGGACTAAAATTTTAACATTAAGTTACTCAAAGGAATTATTGCCTCATTGACATAGCCAGCCTGTAAATTTGGCCTTGTTGTTCACACCCTGCTTTTACTAACTGGAAAAACGACAATTGCGGAGAATTTATTGGTGGTAATAATCAAGAATTTACACACCAGGAATAAATGTGCAGAATGGCTGCATTAAAACCACTTGGAATAAAACACGGACATATTATAAATATGTATATCAAACTATTTTTTATAACCACCTGAGTGTTTAAAAGGATAGGAGAATTAGAGTTGAAACATGTTGCTCATTACTGGCTGCATTAATGTAAATATTTTAAATACCGTCTTTAATGACGATAGTACGACAAATAGTTTATAATTAGTGACTAAATCACGAAAAACCGATCTTATTTGACGCAATGTCCAGAAAATGCAGATGCTTGAAATAAACAAACAGGAAAAACTTCATCCTAAATTTGACACTCCCAATGACTGCTGCTATTCAGCTAAATTTCTTTACACACCATTATTCTGACGTTGATATTTCACTTCCGTTTCGTAATTTGCTGTTCTAAGTTCGATGATCTGCTCCTGAAAAATGCGTGAAAAATATTTAAGATTATTAGGGAAGTCAGTCAAAAAAGCGCAAAATGGGGCAATAAATTGAAACTCACTTGCATTCGATTGAAATCATCTTCTCGAATATCGGCCATGTTTTGTTGTCTAACAGCCACATCGGAAAGCATCGGAGAACACTCGGGTTTTAAAAACAATCATAACATTCATACATTATGTATGTATGTTACACTGGTATATTTCGTGGATACATGGGCACAAGATGCAAGAAACACGAGGGCATGTCGTACATTCTCATACATTTCATTTTCTCACCAATCTCGTTTCTAATAAATTTATGTTTTCAAGGAGAGAAATTGAACCATTGATAAAAAACTTTCAATGTTTTCAAAGAAAACGGCGAAAGTTGGGGGTTGGCACGAGAATCGCTCTACCAGAGATAAAGGCTTTGATATATTGATGCTTAAAGGAGAAAGCAGCGAGGAAGCAAATCATAGACATGAACTATGAAAACCATTAAACTTTACGAGCATAAAAATGAAAATTCAAATAATTATAAGCCGAGTTGCAGCTTTGGAATCTTTCCAGGCGACTAGGTGAAGACATTCTACCTATGCTAAACTCATAACTACAAATTGTCTTAGTTTACAACAAAAAATTACAGTTTCATGAAATTTTAAAAGCTGTATATGAATTTACATATAGAAAACAACACGCTGAAAAAGCTTTCCTGAAGAGGACCACTCGACTTCTCTCATATTTATGAAGTTCAATATTCATAATGTCAATAAAAAAAACTAATTGCTGCCGTTCTCGTTTCCCTTTTGCTGCGTGATTCTTTTAGCACCCCTCGCTGTCGGGGGCTTCGGTTTGGAAAACTTCGGTTTGTGAAGAATTTTCTTCGGGTGCAGTTCCTCCATCAAAAACGTTTCTGTTATTTCTTCAGCGTTAGAGATTTCAATCTAGGCACAAAGTTACACAAAATTCAAAACAGTAACATGAAGCAGTAGCTATCTAGCAAGTTTTAGCGGTAGATCTTGTCAACAAAAATCTATTGTTTCCCAGTTTCTTATAAAAGGAAAAAATAACCGGGCTGGCTATACCGCTGACATAAAGTGACTGGCAATGTAGGAATAAGATTACAGTGTATAAAACTAGCCAAGAGCGGGTGGCAAAAAAACACTCGTTGGAATCGAATCCACCACCGTACGTTCCAGTGCAGTGATCTAAACTCCAAGCTACGAAGAACCAAAGAAACAAGAGGTGCAGGCAAACCATACGCTCATGCATACGTTAAAATTCTAAGGTGCGTCAAGTAAGCGATGTTAAAAAAGATCGATCAACAGTTCCATAATATATATGAAGAATACGTAACATTTGTGAGATAATTTTATGGACAGAAAAAGATCAACACAAGCAAGCAAGACATTATAGATATCGAATGAAGTTGCATACTTTTTTAGGAATTTCCATTTGCAATCCTTCCTCAAGGCCGGCAAGCAACGGCGCCTTACAAGTTGAATACAGCATCCGCTCCTTTACAGAACATTTATATCCGGGCATACTGTATATAAACACTGAAAATAGAATAGAAATGAAATGTTATTGATACACCATCCATTAGTACTGACAATTGCTTTCTACTGCTGGCAGTGAGCTGAAGGGGGAGCAAAGTTTTGATGTATTTTGTATCGTAAGCGGAGGAGGTAAAACAAGCAAAGTAGCCGGGGCACAAAAATATATATCTCTGAACGGTTCTACGAAGGATCATTTCCTATCGATTCTCATTGATTCAGTAGTAACAATCAAATAATTTGCATGTTTATTATCTACGTGAATTCTGGACTTTCCTTCCTAGAAACTCGATTATGCACGTTACAGACAAACAAGAGGATAAATCGATAATATGGAGACGCTCAGACCAAAAGATTTAGTTTGCATCTTTTTCTACGATCCAAGACTGTCACAACAGGTGAAAACCTCGACAAATCGACCTAGCTCCAATATTCACAAGAAAGCACCACATCACCTATACTTTCTAAATAATCTCCTTCGTGCGTGTGTTTGAACAGGAAGAAACTATAACAAGGCTGATCCGTCGGAGTCTTGCCGGCAATTTCTGACACATCGCAATCGCCCGCAAAGCGAAGTTCGATTTGCTCTTCTTCGGTGTCGACACTCTTTAAAGGAAAAATTGAATGTTTAGTAAAACGTAATGAGCCACAGCCTTGAAATTGTCGCAATATTAATATGCAATTTAACGCATTCGAATAGTCTAATCAACCCCCCACCTTCAAACAGCGTTCGACATGATAACTGGTCAATAAGTTTGGCTACAAGTATAATAATCATAATATGAATCTAATCTCAGGATTCATATTATGATGATTCTCCGATGATGGCTTTAAAATGAAGTATAATAAGCCGCCCGTATGTAAAATAAGCTACAAATAAGAGAAGCTACTGGTAGTTAGAAGCAACGAGCTGTGCAACCAGGAATAAATCGAACGTCGTTCGAAGTTGAGGAGCGAATAAAACTAGCTAAAATGTAACGAAGAGACAAGAAAGACGATGGTGCGTAGTGTTATGTCTCACCAATTGCACAAGACTTGTCTGTTTGTCTCGAAGAGCCTCCAGCTTAAGCAAAGCTTCCTCGGAGATTGGAAAGTTCACGCCTGGAAGATTGCTGTGTCTTGTATGAATACCAATGTCAGTGCGATTCTGAAAATATAGAAGTGCAGAGTAAATTTCAGATCATAGCATCATATAATTCCTTAGAAACCTTGCGAGTGAACATCTAAATATTTACATTCCACAACAAAACTTGCAGGCTGCCGAAATCGATTATTGATAGATAAAGTTGTTCAAATTAACAGCGAAGTGGCCAGCCCGCAAATTTGTTCCTGCTATGTAAATTTCAGATCATAGCATCATATAATTCCTTAGAAACCTTGTGAGTGAACACCTAAAACGACGAAACTCGCAGGCTGCCTAAATCGATGATTGAGAGATAAAGTTGAAGCAGCCAGCCCGCAAATTTGGTCCTGCTATGTAAATTTCAGATCATTATCAATTCTCATTTCTTTAGAAATCTATTTTTTTTACAATGAGTGAACAGCAAAATGTTTACATGGCGCGAATAAACTTGTGGGCTGGCCACGCCACTGCAAATAAAGATGGAATGTTCTAGCCTAGGGTTAGACAATTGAAAAATTCATCTCGTTCTTATTGTTTTATGATGGTAGAGAACATTGCACTTGTTCCTAAAGAAAGGTTTGCAAAAATCTACCTCAGACTGCTTCACGATTCGCAACTCTTCTTCGGCATCAGTCAAAGGAGGTGGAGCCGCCTGATGCTCGAGATGTTTCAGATAGCCCTTGTAACTTGCATCAGACTGACAAAGTAAACACGTTATTTGAGAATGGTTTTCTACGAATGACGTCATTCGAGGATTTAAAAGCGTACCTTAGAGGTGGCGAAAAGTTCCTCTTTGATGTGACCGCCGCCAAACGTACTTTTCAAAGTTGCTCTTGTGGCGGCGTACAACATTTTTTCACGAACCTATAGGGAAGGCATTAGTTTGAATACCTAGTTTAGATTGCTGAATCGGTGTTTCCAGAAGAACAAATGAATTTTCAAAAGCGTGTAAGACCGACACACTCACAAGTTCAATTGCATACTTACTGGCGCAACATCGGGTGAATAGGTAATAAACACCCACTCATAGCCTTGATTATTTTGGGAATCAAGACGATAGAGAATGTAGCAAGGCTGCTTTTCTTCAAGTCTTGAAAGTACATTAGAATCATAATGTGCAAATACGTTAAAGAAGGTTTGGAGAAAAAATGGCATCCTACAATACTGTATAACATGATGTTGAATAATTTGAAAAGGATATCATCGATCCAATTGTCCATTGGCGATGCGCTCTCTGAATAAACTAATTGCTCTAGTGAAAGAGAACATAATTGATGCACATGAGCACATACATACCAGTTTGATTTGAAACTACACTAATGCAAGTGGTATAGCTATGCAAAACAGAAAGTTAGTCTATCAATGTAAAATCATGTGCACTATCGTTAGCAATTTCTTTTTGCATCTATTGTCTTCACCAAATCAACTGGCAGATACACCATCACTATGAGCACTACTGACTTGAATATTACAATCAAAACTATGCTTTTGCAAGATATCCACTAATGGAAATTATTTCACCAATTGATTTAAAAGATCTTATTTTAGTTGACACACCATGTAAGTTGTGGGCAAATCATGGTGCATATTGCATAATCACTCTTACCATTCTCGATACCAATTTTGATTATCCTCAGGGAGCCATCCTTTGATGATGCAAACATCTCCAAAAGCTCATCATTCGCTAGATGCAAAAAAAAACAACTTATCAATGGTTTCAGGAAACGTGACACAACAGTGAGCAAATTATTGCTGTCCCTCACTGAAATCTTGATGTTTGATAGAGTAAAAAACAAAACAAAGTTCAATTACGTATTTTATTCATAATATAGATTGTTGCACATCAACCCAATTTAACAAAACACAGTTACATCAATGCTATTGTGCCTGATGTGGAAATAAATGCTGTTTTTTTACTAGATTTGATCTGATGAGCCAGACTCTCCCACCTGCTTTATATAGTTGGAAAGCTCAGAGCATGGGGTGTTTAGGCTCATTCAACCAAATCTGGTTAAAAAATTGCACATATGGTCATACTGATTGTGGTTGGCAGCTGATGTGGGCACAGCATTGTACTCAAAATGTAAAAAGTGCTCAATCTGTCCCATAGAATATGACGTAGCTCTAATCGCTTTAATTATGCACCTGTACGACAAAAGCCTTGGGATCACGTCGAGTGGTAATTAAATACAATTGGTAATTGATGATTAATTAGAAATGTTGGCAATAAAGATAAAATTCAAAACCAGAAAAGAGTTAAAAGTGTGCCACAAACGACGACACATCAACAAATCAATCGCCACACATCAACAAACAAATCCCAAATATGCCAGACAGCACCGGCAAGGTGCGACGTATGAAGTATTTGTTGATGAGCTACAGTAACTTTAAACGTGGAATGATTCGCCACTCTCGTTTATATTATAGTCACGTACCTTTTATTCCAGTTTGATGAGACATTGTCCGACAGTTTCGAGGGGAAAACGCTTTGATCTTCAACAGGAAATGCGGAAGACAAACTTGACAAGACAAGATACAAATGTTGAAATATGTTAATTACGCTGATCAAAAACTAGATCCCATTCTTCTCTGTTGTAGAGCGACGTGTGCATAAGTTATGAATTTACAATTATAATTACATTACCATTGACTACAAAGGGGTAGCAATTGTTTACCGAGTTATTGAGAAACGTAGGCTCTGGATGTCTCTCCCCAAAGCATCTGGTTAGTCATGATCGATTGACGTAGGAAAATGGAATGTTTACCAATAAAATAAGAACATAAATTTAATAATCTCTCAAAAAACGAGAATTTAAAGCTGAAAACGACACAACAAAATCTCACAAGATCCACGATGGACAGGACGTCATAAAATTAAAATCAATAAATAGAACAATCGAAACCTAAAGTTGGTCGAAAACGAGTTTTGATTTCGGAGCTTTTTGTGAGGTCTTTATTCTTTGACTTTTCTCATTGAACGCTTGTATTTGAGAACTGCAGAGTCAATAAAGAGGTGCCTGACTGCCTTCCAAACTTGAGACGGAGGGGTCTAAATTAAAATGTACGCCTTAGTAAATGAAATCATTAGCAGCCCAAAAAATCAATTAGCAAGCCAAAAGGTTAAACAAACGATAACTCTCCCCATTCCATTTTACAGACCGTGCGCGCAAACTTTGTATTAGTATTATATATATTATATATTTACCAATATACAATAAATTAATACAAAGTTTGCATCGCACGGTCTGTAACGATGGAATGGGGAGAGTTATCGTTTGTTTAAACTATTTAGCAAGTTAAGTGATTTTTTGGGCCGCCTATGCTGAAATCAACACAGAGTTAAGCTATGGAAAAATTCCTCTTCATTACTTGCATAGATTGTGGACTATAGCTAAGATTTCCCAGATCGTGCAACAGTGATACAAGGTATGATAATAAGAAACGTGCGCATGCTCTGAATCTGACCTCTGTCAGAGTTGGCGTTTGCACGGGAAGGGCTCGGTATATTTATGAAATTAGGGTCCTTGAAACGGCGTTTTCATCGTTAAGAGAACACAAACTTGAAAACGCTAAGTTTGAAAAAATATTTTGGACGAAGAAGAAGAAGACAAAATCACAGTTAAAATTTTAAATTTTTCAGAGCGACAAACTTAAAACCATAATTATTATAAACATATTTAAGCATTAAGACTTTTAAACTTCTTGACTTTGTTTTACAAATGAAAAAGATGATAAATTTTGAATGTTTTGACATGTTCACGTTTGAGTAAACCAGCTTATTTTCTCCAAAATTTTTAGAACTGCTCCTTTTATATTTTAGAACTACACATTTCCCAACTAGAGCAGCCAATTTTGTAAAATGACAGGCTTTAGGATGACCCCAGAATGACACACAGGCGAAGCACATTGCTTGTAAGATAAAATAAGACAGCAAAAGTCATACTTACATTATCACGGATGGGTTGTTTCACAGGAGAGCTGTTTGCCATCAAATGTCGAAGCAATACACGCCATCCGGGAGACTTCTCCAATTTATCAGATTTCATGGGTACGACTGTGACCCAGGGACACCAGTTCCGATGCTCGGCCAACGCATCGAATTTGATCTTTTCAATATCCTGAAAAAATCCACCACAATTACTCTACTGAAATGCACAATCATTCAAAACGTCTTACAAAATTAACTGTGCAGTTCTCTGAAATAAAATCTGCATGGAAACATTTCCAAACCCACAAGTATAATATGTCAGAAAATGTTAATATGTCTATTTCAGTTTAGTTAATACGTCGAACTCAGTTTAGTTAATACGTCTATTTCAGTTTAGGTAATATGTTTATTTTAGTTTAATTTAGGATTATTGAAAGTAGTATATCATGTGCTTGCCATTACTTCGCCATCGCAAAGTTCAAAGAGTGTGGCACTCTTAGCAAAACGTCAATTTTTTGTGAATCATACAAGCAACGCAGCAAATTCGCCTTTACATCACTGAAAAGCATTGTGAAAAACTATAACAGCGTTTAAAGTTACCCTAAGATGTGACAAACATCCAATAAGTTCTCGATTGTTGCCTACGTTTGGAGCAAGAAGCAAGAACAAAATTACAATGTAAATGTCACTCATGCAAGGGAGAACTGCTCAAATTCTTCTTTCAGATAAAAGTTGATCTCGAAGAATCTATTTTATGTACATTAGAGGATTAGATTGATTTGACATACCCGAGATCCGCCCCTGATATACATATGGAACATAAAACACACATAAAATTGTATAGTTTAACTTACGTCCGTTTTCAGTCGTTTCGAACGGGGCTCGCGGTTTTCTTCATCACTAATGTCGGATGCGCTGCGTTGGCTTTCCGTTTGAGATAGGTTTTCCCCCGTCTCTAGTAAATCTGGTTGAATTGATCTCATCCTCTCGCTCATCGAGTCCTCCCCGATCTCTACAATCATACTGTTTTGCCAGCTACCCACAGGAGACGGCAGTCGAGCACTATCCACAATTGATAACAACTTCGGTTCATTCACCTGATCTGATTCACAGGAATTTTCAACACGATCAAAATCAGTTCCAGGATCAGGGAGGTTGTCGATTTCTTCTTGAGACTGTTGGTTGTATTCAGGTCCATCATTTTGAATGAACGGCGAGGCCTGGTTATCCATCTGGATGTCCGATAGTTGTTTTTGTTCGGGTAAGGGAATTTCTTCCGATATCAGGGTATTTCTTCCGATTTAGGAAATGTCGTTTCTTCCAATATTATTGATTTTACTTTTTCTGATGTTTGTTCTTTGACAAAAAAACTTACATCCGTGATATTTTCTTTGTTAAACACGATAGTTCTAGTTCGGGTTCTACTTCAGATTGGCTAAGCGCATTTGCCAAGACTTTTTCTGATGGGCACTTTTCATCACCAGGCTCCCTTGCGCAAATCACAAGTCCTCCAGACAAGGGTTCCTTTTCTGATAAAGATTTTTGATTTGGTAGCGGTTCCTTTTCAAGAATAGGTATTTTGTCTGACTGCGGTTCTCGTTCCGCTACAGTTCTTCCTTCACATAAACTTCCTTCTGACGCACCATGATTCTTCGATGGTGAAGTCTCTTCTCCGTAGATAGGTAAACCCTCCGACACAATCTCTTCTTCCGTGATAGATTTTTCTTCCGTAGCACAATCTTTCTCAGATCTTTCCATCAACACAGGGACTTCATAAGACATAGGGACTTCATAAGATACAGACACTTCATTAGGCATAGGGGCTTCATCAGACACAGGGACTTCATCAGACATAGGGCTTCATCAGACACAGGGACTTCATCAGACATAGGGACTTCATCAGACACAGGGACTTCATCAGACATAGGGAATTCGTCTGACATATGGACCTCATCAGACATAGGGACTTCATCAGACACTGGGACTTCATCAGACACAGGGACTTCATCTGACACAAGGACTTCATCAGACACAGGGACTTCATCTGACATATGGACCTGATCAGACACAAGAACTTCATCAGACATAGCTTCTTCATCCGAGATGCCCTCATGTGCAGACTGGTATTCAGATAAATGATCTCCTGGTTCTAATTTCCTTTCAAAGTAGTACTCCTCTGACGCAGTCTCGTCGTTTGACGAGGCTTCTTCCTGTTCAATGCCCACCGATGAAGAGTCGCATTTTAATGGAGAGATTTCAGATATTTCTATGCAATGCTCTGTTTGAGCCTGCGATGGAACTGGATTGTTGTGTTGAACGTGCAACGTATTCTCATTACCTGATATTTCATGTTGCAGAGAACTATCTTGAGTGCTCTCTGATGCTAACTCTTCATGTTCAACATGTCGGATGTATTGGGCAGTTCTATTATCTATTGCACAATATTCCTTATCATCATGCGTTCTTATCTCCACAGTTGATCCCGGGGAACCCTCATGATGATTTTCACCGTATTCCACACTGTTCATTATTGGTAAATCTTCACTTGTGTGTCTCTTCAGAGTTCCGTTATCCGTAGGATTGACCACTTGTTCGTGGCCATCAAATTGCCCAGCAATCACATTTTCACCGATTTCATTTTCATGAAGATCGACATTGTCCACTTGCCTGTGAGTACTACTAATCTCTGAAGGATAAATAACCGTATCGTTAAGTATGTATGTGAAATACGACGTCGATCATCTTTATGCAACCGTTCATTTTACAAAGTGAATGGTACGTATGAACTCTGAAGCATCGTTACATGTTTATAGATTTTGATTGTCCAGGTTAGTAGAGTCCTGAGAAGGACTGTGTGGGTTGGTGTTGACTGACGTTTAGACAATCTAATACAGGACTCTTCAGATGACTACAGTTAAGTTTATCGAAACGTCAGTCAACATAAACACCAAGTCTTTCGCAGAACTGTACTAACTTGGACGATCTACATTTACAAGCATGCATAGATTTGACAGACGAAAAACTAAGCGGTTTAGATAGTATGATGACGTCTTACGCTAAGGACAAAACTTTACTTGATATTTTATTCAAAGCCTTATTTTGGGCAATTGTTGTTATTCTAAGTATTCTTTCGTATTGTCGCTTACCGTCAGAAACCTTCTGAATGCTATCATCAAGCACCAAATCCACGGGATTGTTGATCGAATAAAAATTCCACAATCCAGCCTCGCGATGACAAGCTGTACAGAAAAGTACACCGGAAGTCTCGTCGCTAAAAAGATCCAAATATCGTTGTCCATAGTGAAAATATAATGAAATATTATTATTAAGTTATAAAAATAATAAAGAAATTCTTATCGCTCTTATAGAAATTAGCAAATTGGATGATCAAAAACGACAAAAACTATTTGTTCACGGCTGTTCATAAATTGGTAAAGTCATATTGTCATTCGTCTTATGTCTCTCGTAGTTCTTCTATATGAGAAAAACTACGCTCAATCTCAGATATTTTTTTACCTCGTATTCCATCCACACAAAGCCATAATACAAGCTGTTCTAATGATGTCATCGCTGTAATGTGAAAATTCATCGCTGATCGTGATGAAACTACAAAGGACTTCGAGATGATCGTCTGACAACTCCTTAAAACACAGAACACAAGATTGCTTTCAACAAAACGATTGAGTGTTGTCACTAAGCATTGGCATGTGTAACACGGCATTAGACTTAATGCAACTGGAAGGCTACTTCCCGCCAAAATTTAAAGGCACTCGACTAGTCCCAATCCTTCTATTCAAGGCCGAGTTAATAATACTGGGGCCGGTTGCACGAAGCCCAAACAGCATTATTCTTTGGATAGTAAAATATTCAAACTTGTAAAGAAAGTATTTATATTTTCGTTACCACGAAGAAATTTCGTAATCTTAGAAGCTATATTTCATTTCAGTGATTGCTCAGTTCAAAGCCTTTTCCTTTTCAAGAGGTTTTTTAACCTTTTGAAAAACATTTGATATCCAAGGGATAACGCTATTCATGCCTCGTGTAACCGGCCCCAGAAAGCTAAAATCGGGGAATACGATAAAATTTGGCTCCATATAAGTACATGTTTATGTAAAAGTAGCCGTTTAGTTATAAAGTCAGTTCAATGATAATATGGCATTCACTGATTATGAACTTAAGGTGTCAAAGTTCCACTTTTTTTTTTGTATTGTGAAACATATTGATTTTATCATACACTTTCAACTGACTCCATGAAAATGGTTCACAAATGGCCAAATTGTTTGATGTTCGTGAAACAATTTTTGCACATTTCCATGACTATATAAAGAGTCTGAAACGACTATAAAATCAGATTTGTGACATCATTGAAGATAGTTTAGTAATTCCATGTATATTACACGCGAGAGTTTTACTGCCGGAAGCAAACGGAATCAACAAAACATACCGTTCGGTGTTCTGATAAACACATAAATGACAAACTTCATCAATACATTACCATACAAAAAGTTCCCCGATAGGTAAACTGTTATCAAGTGCTATACATTGGTCAATTCTAGCAAGCCTGTAACAGGCAAATTGCAATGGACTTTTTTTGATACCATAATTTGGGCAATCTTTAAACTGCCTGACACGAGGACGGTTACCAAAGAAAATGTTGTTGAGAAGTGAAAGAAACTGATCACACGACTTTTTTAATGCTAACTACAAATTGGGTATTTTCGAATTCGAAAGAAGATACGTTCTTTTTAAAGCATCTCATTTTTAAAGATCCCATTCTTCAACAGAAAGCAAATCACCATACGTAAGTATAATTAGAGATGCGGTTGAGTGTCTTGGATTCATTCATACAGAATTGGAAAGAACATATCTCAGGGGACTTTCTTTTTGTGCCGTGTGCGCGATGTTTACATCGAATATGTGAGAAAATACATAGCTACCATCAGATTAGAATCCCACAGAAACCTAAAAACATTGAAGTAACAATCAACATACCATCTCCAAAAGTGTTTCGCGTTTCAATAATGGCAAATCTCCGCCCAATGTAAGGAGATTCTTGCAAGCATTCACGTACAAAACTTTCCATTCATCGCTCGTCCTTGTCGGCAGGCAAAGAAACGTTTCTTGAAAGGCAAAGAAAACGGCTGTAAAAGCCATTACATGTGTCCCGGGGGTCACGAAAACATTCGGATTCGCGAACGAGGGGTAAGACGAATATTGCCAAAATTTTCAGGTTGTCTTTTCTAAGATATATTTCATAATTAAGGGAGATTTCTAAAATTATCAAATAAACGTTAACAGTGATGTTACAGAACACTTTGTGAAATGTAAATACACGAAGCATTTTATAGCAAGCGTTACGAAAAAAAACCCACTTTATTTCCAACCAAGGTAATTTTTCACTTCACATTACAGGACGGGAAATAACGGTCGGCACCAACAATTGTCCCGTCGGAAAAACTTTCGCGTTGCCGCTTATTTTGCATTAAGATACGTAACTCAGACTACATTCATTAAATTGCATATTTCGAAAAAATACTTACCTGGGCATGGATTTTCTCTCCACGGACAAAACGGAGAATGTGCTTCGATGATGCTTGTTCGGAGTTTGTCACAAGCGATGTTATCTGCAAGCACAGTAATTTTAAAATAGCAGACTATATCACACAGGATGCATGTGTTCTATGCTTATGGCACCATAGTCAGCCTGCATGTTAAGGGTCTGGGTAAATGTGTTTGTGCTCACTTTCTGTAAAAACGAGGGATTCATACAGAAATAAACAATGCAAATGATCTGAAATGTACATAGCATGATCAAACTAAAGGACTGGCCACAATACCGCATATATCGCCAAATACTTGAAGAGTTTATTTGAAATCAGAATTTGAGTTTGTAAACGTCGAACACATCGAGTTTCCTCCATAAAATGACTCATCAAAACAATAAATTCAGTTCACGACCTTCATCCAATCGTCAACAAGCAAGTGTGCTCTAATGACTCAATGTTCCATTTACCAATCATAGCAAGTGTACTCACATGACGTATGTTCCCATTCTTCACCAATCATAGCAAGTGTACTTACATGACTTATGTTCCCATTTACCAATCATAGCAAGTGTACTTACATGACTTATGTTCCCATTTACCAATCATAGAAAGTGTACTCACATGACTTATGCTCCCATTCTTCACCAATCATAGAAAGTGTACTCACATGACTTACTTCACCAATCATAGAAAGTGTACTCACGTGACTTATGCTCCCATTCTTCACCGATCATAGCAAGTGTACTCACATGACTTATGTTCCCATTCTTCACCAATCATAGCAAGTGTACTCACATGACTTATGCTCCCATTCTTCACCAATCATAGAAAGTGTACTCACATGACTTATGCTCCCATCCTTCACCAATCATAGCAAGTGTACTCACATGACTTATGCTCCCATTCTTCACCAATCATAGAAAGTGTACTCACATGACTTATGCTCCCATTCTTCACCAATCATAGAAAGTGTACTCACATGACTTATGTTCCCATTCTTCACCAATCATAGCAAGTGTACTCACATGACTTATGTTCCCATTCTTCACCAATCATAGCAAGTGTACTCACATGACTTATGCTCCCATTTACCAATCATAGAAAGTGTACTCACATGACTTATGCTCTCATTCTTCACCAATCATAGAAAGTGTACTCACATGACTTATGCTCCAATTCTTCACCAATCATAGAAAGTGTACTAACATGACTTATGCTCCCATTCTTCACCAATCATAGAAAGCGTACTCACATGACTTATGTTCCCATTCTTCACCAATCATAGCAAGTGTACTCACATGACTTATGTTCCATTCTTCACCAATCATAGCAAGTGTACTCACATGACTTATGTCCGCATTTACCAATCATAGCAAGTGTACTCACATGACTTATGCTCCCATTTACCAATCATAGAAAGTGTACTCACATGACTTATGCTCTCATTCTTCACCAATCATAGAAAGTGTACTCACATGACTTATGTTCCCATTTACCAATCATAGCAAGTGTACCAACATGATTTAATGTTCCCATTTACCAATCATAGAAAATGTACTCACATGACTTATGCTCTCATTCTTCACCAATCATAGAAAGTGTACTCACATGACTTATGTTCCCATTTACCAATCATAGCAAGTGTACTAACATGATTTAATGTTCCCATTTACCAATGATAGAAAGTGTACTCACATGACTAATGCTCTCATTCTTCACCAATCATAGAAAGTGTAGTCACATGACTTATGTTCCCATTTACCAATCATAGCAAGTGTACTAACATGACTTAATGTTCCCATTTACCATTCATAGCAAGTGTACTCACATGACTTATGTTCCCATTCTTCACCAATCATACCATCAACAGTCGCTTTGCAAGAAACACATTCAAGGAGGTCAACACCAATATTTACCCAACCGTATCGTGCACAATGTTTGGGTGATAGATCTGTTGGCTTCATTGGCCATGTGAATGGCTGGAATGTGTTAAGGATCCGAGGTGCAAAAAGTTAGCAATGTCTTCATATCTTCACCCGTAGACACTTGACATTAATACAGTTTGGTAACAGTTTGCATTATATCATGTCCTCACCAACTCACCCCATCAAATATTTGACACTATGGCAGGAAAAATATGAAAATAGTTCAGTAAGTTTTTAGAGTACATAGCTTTCATTCCCGAACAACTGGTTGAGAACCCCTGCATCTGCATATGGAGAAGTTGGAATACCCTTGTTTTTATCAACAACATACATATTAATACAGAAAAGGATACAGAGAATGTTGCCACTCTTTTTTCAAAGCTCTCTCTGTTTCTCGGTTGACACATAGTTGACATATGTTTGTCATTTTCGTTCTCATCTTTTTCGGATCTTTAAAAAAGGATGGCCAAGACATTTTAATATTGACAATGAAATTGCTTTCCAAACAAATCATTCAGCGCATTTTGAATGTCAAAGACTGGAAAGAACTTATTTGGGGATGAAATAGTTCCACTAACTTTACAACAACCATTTTTGGTGAAACTATTTCACTCTAACAAAGTAACTTGGGGCATTATTGGGTATACATAATACAGAGTAAAGTTAATCACTGTAATTAACATAGTACCGTAAATTTCAGTTTGTTTTCCATAACCACAGAGTATTGTGATTGCAAATTTCGACTTTATTTAGTCATCGTCAGGAGTGATTTTGCTAAATGTGTAGTTATTCCCGACGATGACGAAATGAATAAAGTCGAAACATATTGTAAAAATGATAACATTTTGGGAGTTACTATCGACTGCACCGTTTTAATGATCGTGTATAGCATAAACACGCCAATTCAAAAAACACGAAAATAAAGGATGAACAGGTACTTATAATTCTGATTTTCATGACAAATTTTGATTTCAAATTTGGTAAGCAGACTCTAACTTGGTTGTGGTAAACGATGTCTTCGACATCTGCTACTTTTAGAATACTCGTATTTTCGTTTCCAAAGTATTAATCAGTACGATGAATTGAATAATTGAAGCTACGTTAAACCTGCTAAAGAATAATAACTATATCGGTGTACCTACCTTTCGTATATGGAATCAGGTTTCTCGTGCATAAAACTCGATAAAATCTCTTGTATCTTGTAGCGCGTGTTCGAAAAAGATGCCATATTGAATAATTAATAAATGACGGGGAGGGGAGGACTAAATATTTACTGGGGGTATATAGGTTTGGGCTGTATATCGTCTTGAGAAACACAAGAGATAAATTTTGCGAAATACAATTCGATATTTCGATTAAAATCTGATCAGCAAGTATGTTCATGCATGGGATGCCAGACTAATTGTTGCGACACTGTGCAAGACTATAATGCTGCATAACGTTTCTTTAGAAATCTACCTTAAATGATCTAATAAACGCTCCTTATGAAATAAACACCTCAAATTTGATAAACGCCTCCCCTTTGGAGCGTGAGTTTGTACTACATGCCTCTCTCCGATAAACACCTCGTCTCTAATAATCCCACCTTATTATTGGGTCATGGGTGATCGTTTGGGCTCAGAAACCATATTATAAACTTAGTTTTGTTATAAACTGTTCCAGAATTGATAAAAACATCTCTCTATTCCACCAATGGCGTTTATGAAATCATTTACGGTGTTATTTTGAAGTGAGTGCAGGGAAAGTGCTAGAACGCTAATTTGGGAGGGTATATTCATCTATTCAGTTGTGGGCGAGTGATTTCTTTTGAAAGTAATTTGGTTTTAAAGTAAGTCAGTCGGGCACAACTATAGCACAATATATGAATATACATATACACACCCCAATTAGCGTTCTTGCACCGTCCCTGAGTGAACAGAAAATCATTTTCATAGCAGGACATTCATAAACGAGTCGGTGTAGATCACGGAATGTACAACATTGACGATAAGGACATAAATATTGAAATGTAAGAAATGTTGTAATCCGTGAAGGTTATGTTGTATGACATGTTATTTGCGTATCTACGTTCTGTTCTTCTGCATCACTGCCTGAAGCTACTATTTTTTTGTAAAATACGATGTTGTTCCACTGAATCACATTAAGGACAAATACACGAATAAGCATTTAAATTTCATGTAAAAGTTTCTAAACTTTTATGATTCCAAGGTAACTGAATGAATTTCACTAAACACAGACATCACAATGTCAGAGATGATGAACTACGCCATGCGTTGAAATAGATTTCGCTGAAAAAAGAGTACCACAGAAGATGATATCAAAGATAAGTTCAGATAAAGCAAGATTTAATCCTATTGCCCTTGAACGAGTGTAAAAGTATTTGCGTCCTCAAAAATTAGCCATATAACAAGTAACTTACTAACTTCGATTATTAAGAGTATGTTATGCATAATAAGAAAACTTATTGATTGAATGCAGCAGACCTTTATGAGACAGAGATTTGATATTTTTACACTACAGATCTCTCCAAATATCATCTTACAGCACTCAAAAATATAAACCAAACGTCAGAAGATTCGCTCTACTGGTGAATAGCAAAAAACAGATCCATTTCCGAAGGCAATGTAAGGACAACAGTCGAAATCCTCAAAATTTCAATACTATTTTTCATCACTATAATTAAATTACTATAACCATCAGTTGTATCTACGAAATATTGTGAAATAATAAATACAAATGTAACTTTTGTCAACTTCAGATGCAAAAACAACCTATAAAACGTAAAAAGACACAAGTAAAGCGGAATTTGGTGCGGCCAGGTTCATCGCACGCAGGCGCAATAACACTTCTAAATACTATCTAAATACTGTCCAAATAAAAGTCGTTCGACGATAATTTACAGCATGAAGCAAACATACATGTACTGTACCAGCATAAGACCGGCCGATATTCCTTGTTTTACAATCTCCTATTTCTGTATGGGTAAACAAAATAACTAGTCGATATAAAACCCTATTGCTACATACGTTTGATTCTTGGTTGTCCCAACCTCACACTATTCTAAAATACTCTACATCGGCGCGGATGTATCTTTCTATACAAAATATATTACTTGTCGATATTTGGAAAAATTGCTGAAGCCGATGTCGGATAAGGCGTGAACTCAATGGATTCAAACAGGGGTGGATTTGCTCGTTGGAGGGTGTGCGGGCGTTTTGATGGGTGGCTTGAAAAGTGTCAATATATCTGCAAAACGTACATATACAGCCAAAAGCAATTCGTCACGTTACTAACTTTTACGTGTAAGTCCTTTTTGGGGGTTTTGAGGTAAAGAGAAGTGAACATAATTCTAAGTAAAGTAAAACTTTTATGTTTAAGTCATTTTGGGGAGGTTTTGAGGTAAAGAGAAGTGAACATAATTCTAAGTAAAGTAAAACTTTTATGTTTAAGTCATTTTGGGGAGGTTTTGAGGTAAAGAGAAGTGAACATAATTCTAAGTACAGTAGAACTTTTATGTTTAAGTCATTTTTGGGGGGTTTTGAGGTAAAGAGAAGTGAACATAATTCTAAGTACAGTAAAACATGTTTAAGTCATTTTGGGAGGTTTTGAGGTAAAGAGAAGTGAACATAATTCTAAGTACAGTAAAACTTTTATGTTTAAGTCATTTTGGGAGGTTTTGAGGTAAGAGAAGTGAACATAATTCTAAGTAAAGTAAAACTTTTATGTTTAAGTCATTTTGGGAGGTTTTGAGGTAAAGAGAAGTGAACATAATTCTAAGTACAGTAGAACTTTTATGTTTAAGTCATTTTGGGCAGGTTTTGAGGTAAAGAGAAGTGAACATAATTCTAAGTACAGTAGAACTTTTATGTTTAAGTCATTTTGGGCAGGTTTTGAGGTAAAGAGAAGTGAACATAATTCTAAGTACAGTAAAACTTTTATGTTTAAGTCATTTTGGGAGGTTTTGAGGTAAAGAGAAGTGAACATAATTCTAAGTACAGTAAAACTTTTCAATGAACATTATATATTTTGAACATTTGAGTCGTTTTGATTGGTCAAAGAGCTTCGGCTGTGATTAAATACGGAACACACCAGTGGAGGAAATAGTAGCATCAGGCAAAAATCCCAAAGTGAAGAAATGTGACTTTGGCAAAAACTTTAGTAACGCGACGAATTGCGATTTGGGTTGATGCTCCAAAAATCTCCGATTCGTGGTATAAAAGAAACAAAATTTTACAAAAGAGCAAGACAACACCATAAAGTAGCCAACAAGTACTAATTCACAACAGAGCACCCCTCCACACACATACAAAACCACCCTGGATCCATCCCTGGACTCAAGCAGTTCTCATACGACCGCTGTTCATCAAACGCTTCAGCAAAGTTTCCCGGAATCTTAGATGAAAGCCATGGTAATACAAAATAAATAAGTCATATACAATGTAAATAGAGCGACAGACGATAAAAAATTACGAAAGTGGTACTGCTAACGCATAAACATCCCGCCTTTATCGAGTTTTAATTTTTTCGCAAGTCTTTGTTTCGTCGTCAATTGAACTGGTCGCCTGCCTCTCTTCGACGCGTTGCCTAGAAACAAATGTTATAATAATCAACGCAAACGGCAAAAAGATAAATTAACTGAAATGAAGGCGGGAGAAAAAAGCAGGTGTCTTGCATGAAAAGTATACAACAGCCACGAAAATATACATGGCAACATGTGAGTCATGCTACAACTGTATTTAAAACTCTGTACTTCGTCTCCTACCGTAAACAATAAAAAAGCCAACACCGAACTGCTCAAATCCATTCCAAGACATTTATTGAGTAACTTTGACGTGTTTATTACACCTAATTTATCACATAGTTTTTCGATTGCATCGTGAAAAACAATTTCACTTCTACATTACACATGAGTTGGCATACTTCTTTCTAGAGATATCAGACCTACGCTCATTTTGCAAATATCATCATAACGACATCACGTCCCAAAATTGACTATGAAGTGGTAGTTTCAATTAAAGGATAAACTGTAAAACTCAAAATATTTGCAGTCCAACGAAATATTTATCCACCCGTGTATTCATCATAACACAGGGTGAACAAAGTTGAATATGTCTAAAAAGATTCAACTGATAAAATTATTGTCCAGTCAATTTTTTTTTGCAAATGCAGTCAGAAAATGCGCGATTAACTTTGTGTCATAAAACTTCATTTTCAAATGGCACAAAATTCACTAACAATCGCATCGTGAATCAAAAGAAAAAGCATCTCCCGTGAAATTTTCGGACTATCATACTTTTTACGTAGCTAGTTACCTTTTTCCGTTTCTGATTGGTTGCCAGCACCCGAAGGTCTTAAAGGAGCTCGGGTACTTTTTCATCGCACCTTCGGACTCAGAAGATGTCCTTGGCGACTTTAGATTGTTCTGCAATTCGAAATAATAACACTATTTTAAAGAAGTGACGTGTATCAAGTTTTTATTGTGTAAAAAAACATGACCACTTACGTTATTGTTCGTCGGTTCAAACTCGGTTTTCCTCGAGATCTGTCGTACGGGACGGGGATGAGCATCGACTTGTGACTGAGCGATACGACCTAAGCAAAAAAAAAAGAAATTGCCTGTTCAATTATGTGGTAAATAATAAAAAATGAACAGCTTACAATGTCAATTAAACAATGAAAAATATCTAAAGCACTCTTGACAGTATGTTTATAATGGTGAAGAGAACCTTTCGGATTCCACGTTGCATCCACTCGTTCACTTTTCTTCTTCTTCATTCCGGGTTTCCACTTCACTTTTCCAGAAATTTCATCGTTTTCTATAGTTGGATACACTGAATAATAAAGAAGACTATATCATTATGTTATACTTTAGTTAATCAAAGGGAACGAGTTACAAAAAGCAATTATACATAAAATAACAATGGTCTATAGTTTTGATTTGACTCATTTGAGCTCAGTTAATTAAGTCAATGAAAAGCGAATTTTCAAATCAATCTTCAACACATGTTGAAGAAAAACTAATACGTTTGTTTTAAATTTATCTGTCTCGCATTATTGTTATTTTATAAAATAAATGCGAGATTTTTTGTCAAAAATACTTTCCATTTCTTAAGTGTATCATATTTTGCTAAGCAGTCTCAAAAAAACTCATTAGTAATTCTTGAGCAAAATTCAAAAGAAACACGTTGTCAGTCGTCGTCTTTACAAATGATAACGACGCGATAACTCTTCAAATTTAACCTCCATTTTTAGGGTTGCACGATGTTTTTTAGAAAATTATTTGGCCAGTGCAAAGATCTCCTTAACACAGTTTTGAACAATAATTTCCAACAATCGTAGACTGTGTTTGAAATACTAAACAAGCACAGAAAAGTATATGGTATTCTCTACTCAGCAAGTATGCTAAATTTTACTCGATCACGGACAGAAATATCCCTCGGCAATCAATCATAGAATAGTTATTTTACTGTAATCAGTCCTTGAGAGAGTATGTTACGCAGCTTATGTTCTAATCAATTACATAAAATGTTCAAGTGTAGCGACTCACCGTAATCGGGATCACTGGGAAATTTGTTCAATAATTCTTCTTCATCTTCCGCTGGACTGTTTAACCGGGACCGTCGTTGTTCATTGACAAATGAGGTTTGCTTCCCCGTGGAATATTCGTTACTGTAAACAACAACAAAAGAAATATACTTCGATCATTTTCCTTTACGGTCAAGGTAAACCGGAAATTTAAAGTTGGCTGGGGTGTGTGGACTATATAGAGGGGTGTAGGGCATAGTCGTGTGAAAGAAATTGTGAAAAATAAACATATGGATCAGGGATGCCGTTTGTATACAAATGAAAACATCCCTTCCTTCTTTAATACCTTGCTGATGCTATAGAAGCTGGGAGGTGATGCCTCGTAGAGGCCGTTTTAAGAGTCGTTGAAGTCGTTTTCCCCATGCCATTGTATAGTGCGTGAAGCTGCTGCTGTATTGGGAAACCATTGGCTTCTGGGATAGCTGGAAATGCATCTTCCACATCGACATCTTCGTCCGACATTTCTCGCCCATTTGAGGCTGGAAGTAGTAAAATACGAATCAAAAATCATTTGTATTTTTTAGTCCCTTAACAAAATCAAAATTAACACTGGTCCATTTACAGCGCAAATACGAACAGAAATTTAACAAAAAAACTTCAGGAAAAAGAAACCCAGAACATTCAAAGCAGCACTAAAGGAGAAAACAATGCAAGATGATTGTTTCATTAATGCCAAATCTAAGCTACAAAAATCTCTACGTTAGTATATGCAAGATGCTGCTTTCATCATGGGTAAACCTAGGCCGTTGTATATCTTTGGGCTTGTACAACGATACAGTCGATAAACTTCGAAAAATATGATGAAATATCCACTTCCGAGTATTGGAACAGCAAGCGATATTTCCGTACTTGATAAAGTTAAACGAAGCGGTTGTTCTTGCGATGACTGACATGAATAAGAACTCTTAAGCGATTGCTCTTCTTTCTTCGAATTTCCTTTCACAATCTTCTGTTTTCGCTTAGTGCCACTAAAGATAAACGAAGAAGAAACGATGTTTATAATTAGCAAAAGCAAAGAATTACACGCACATGTACACTAAACAGCACCTCCTGTCCCACCTGGAGGTGGGACAAGAAGGAGATGATGATTTTTAAAGACATTTCTTAAACACTTTTGTTTCGAGAAGAAGTAAAAACATATGGACAGATCACGAAAGATCGCACCTTCCTCCCACCCCCCATATTTCATGAAACATCCACAAATACTCTCGACAGAGCCAATTTTTTCTTACCTGACAACTTTTCCGTTAGATACGACCAATTTAAGGCTGTTTTCGGTCGATGCCTTATTTTCCGTCTGGGTGTTCTTTGAAATCTTTAATCTCAAAGGCGATTTATCGGACGCCGTCATTTTTTTACGCTGGTTTTTCGACTCGCTTTTTTGCGCGTTTCTGATTTCCTGTCGCTTGCCATAGCAGGGTTTTTGATCCTAATCACGGGCTTTTGCTCGTGAACTACAACGCTTGGTTTCTACAAACAGGAATAACATTAAACATGCTATACTGAAGGTCTATCTAAAGAGACGGTATAATTTCTCAAACTGAAAATGATAAATTGAATGTTTAAGTTTGTTTCGCTCATTTTTATATGCCAACAAAATTTTTAAAAACAAAAGCGAACAGTAACCAGGCATATTCAAAAAAAGGCGGGTTCCTTATTCGCAGTTTCTTCTGTAAAATTTTCAAACCATTCCGTCTGAAGCGAAGGCTCCAAACCCATTTAGAATTAAATGTTTTTTGTTTTTGTGTAGAGATTTGTTTATTTTTTCATGAGGAAAGAGGCCGAGGGCTGACAAAATAAAATAAAGAATCAACTACTGTTCGTTATAGCCGCTTTATACATTCTTATGCTTGAAAGTGTCATCTGTCGAATCGTAGTGAAGGAAAGCCAATTCAACGTTACGAATTGTGTGGGAAAAAACACTTGAAAACTTGGCTTATTTTTCGTTCAAATGCGCAAGTTTGGAGATGTAAGAAAAAATATAGGAGGAAATATCGTGCACGAGTAAAGAATAAACAACGCTACTAACTTCAGCTTGTTTCAACGCTTTTAATAAAGACTTGACGACTTTATTGTAATCCATAGCTTCCGGTATGAAAACTTTGTGTTGATCAAACGAGCCCTAAAATGAAAAAATCAAATTAACTTTAAATACAAGCATTTGTGTTCAGTAGCGCAGCCAGCCTGTCGGCAAGTTTTCCTTGTGCTATGTAAATTTCAGATCATTAACATTATACATTTCTTTACAAATCTGTTGTTTTTACAGGAGTGAACTAAAAAATTAACATAGCAGGACCAATTTGCTGGCTGGCTACGCCACTGTATGTGTTGCCTTGGCAAAATAGTCGTACATCCTTTTTGGAAACCCAGGACTTCAATTTCTTGAGCAAGTCGTGAATTCCGTCGATTAAAAACTGCGGTTTTCTTTCGCCACAATCTTCAAGATCTATACACACACGAAAAATTCACCTTCTAATTAAGAGCCTAGACAGATTTGCACTTTATTCTCGAAAAAGGCTAAATGGCAACTGCCATCCTGTCAAATATCAACCTACTTTTCAGTTCATCAATTAAGCCGACAGCCGCATACCAATGCAAAGATTCAAAGGACGAGAATAAATACTTTGCAGGGGTCTTTAACCGTAGCTCCATATCATAAATGCTGAATGAAAGAAATTTCAAAGCTCAGAAGACATTTTCATCGATCACTGATGACTAAATCACAGCATATAAGGAAACTACAGTGGAGCCTTCCGTTTTCCCATTTCTAATATCTAATATGGCTCTCAGTCTCTCCCAGTCAAAAGAAGTACTCTTATTGGTCAAAACAAGAAATTTTAAGGGTTTCATGCAGGATTAAACGCGAATGGATAACAACTTGAAATACTCCACACACATATTAGTGGAGTTCACTTTAAACAAGATCTTGATTTTAACAAGGTATAGCAAAATATTCCTACCTCAGCTGAAGTCCAATGTTGTATGAATGAAGAAAATTTCCGCCGAAGACGAGCGAGTCCTTGCTCGTAAAAACAGCATGAATCCAACCTAGTGAAAAAACACATCACAAAAAATTAAACCCATTTGGATATCTGATCAAATTAAATTATCTAGGATAGTTTTGCTCTAACTCTTTAAAGCGCAATTCGAGTATTGACAGTTATAAACATTTAGTGTTAACAAAGTATTTATTATAACCTGAAGGGATGAACAACGTCTGCCCAGGTTTCAAAACAACTTTGTAGCATCTGGTGATGAGATCGGCAAAGAACATTTCACTTTGGTTGGAGGATGCCGACCACTTTTCAAACAGTTTAAGATTCGTCTCGGTTGGTTCCACAAAATAGAAAATCTTTTCGCCCTAAAAAGTTCGAAACATAAACATTGTAGGGCAGTTTGTCAAATCAACTGACAAGCACATAGTCGCATAGATTTAGTTAAAATTGAAGAAAGTGGAATAACTTCCAAAGTAGCTGTGTTGAAAGTTAAAACTAAGCGATTGGTGAAGATTACGCTGTTCGTGAAGGGCGATATAGAAGAAGAAAGTTGAAAAACTAAAGAATAATTCAAATTTGAGAATGAAACAACAACTGCTTTTTTGGCTTGTTCTTAGAATTGACCTAAAACATTTTTTATACATCTATGAACATTTGATATCTTTATAAAATGCAATTCTCCAATTTACTTTTGCTTGATTTATCATAAGCAGAAAATCCATCGATTTCATGGCAAAAAAAAGATTTCAATAATAAAATTCCTATTTGTTTTCCCAAATCGATTCAGCCTTGTGATAAATAATTTATAGTATTAAACAACATTCATGAAAATATGCAATAATTTACATGTCACAGCCATGTAAATTAACAACCATTTACAGCCTACTTTCAACCCCAATATCGCAACGACGTCATTGTAAACCATGATACAAGCAGATCTCAGTATCGCTTGCATCAGGTAGTAAAATGCAGACTTAAATCTTCGTGCCCAACGTGATTATGCCGCGACATGATTGCTGTGCGCAATTGTATGAGGTGAATACACGAGAAATATAAAGGAAAAACAAAACACTAACAGCACATTGGTCGCGTGTATTTGAATGAGAAAAATAAAGGAAAATGTCATAGACAGAAACTTAATTTAACATTTACACCTATATGAAAACATCTACATGTAATTATCCGCAAAGGATTCAAAGAAATTTTGCACAGAAAAGAGGAAAATAATAAACGAGGAAAAACAACAAGCGAAGAAGATAAGACAAGAGCAGATGCCAGAGACAAAAAACAATAATATAATGAAGTGGTCCCTATAGGCTTAGCGGCCACAATCATACGTAGTTATAAGTCAAATTATACGTTGTTAAAAGACAAAACCTTCACAACGATTGTCATAACAATTGACTTATAGTGAGGAGGGAGAAATCTCTTTCTCACTACAACTCATAACAACATTAATTAATGTAAGTCACTAGATCAAGAAACAAGCAAAATGGCCAATATTCCCAACAAAACATAGATTAATACCGCTATCGACCATTTCGCACATGCTCACCCATAAAAGATGATACCAAACAGATGAGCCACCAAAATCAACATGAAAATCCGTGTAGGCGTTCTCGACTCCCATCAAGCAATACTTCTGAACACAAGGTCTTGGTTGCAACGGACTAAAACCCAAAGGACAAAAACTAAACTCTTCTCAAAAACTGAAATCAAAACGCTTTCTTTCAATGGCAAATACAACTCATCTTGCTTCATAGTAGTTTACTTGAGATAAACATCGTTGACTATACCTGTCGTCCGCTCCGTGGTCGGGCCAAAAACGATTCACCCAATCGATTTCGCAGACTACACGCGGTCCGCGGACTAATTTGGATAACCTAGTAAGCAAAAGAAACGCCAATGAAAAACGTTTCATGAATCCACGAAACTACAACAGAGTGTGCATCAAGACGCGAGTCGTTTAAATACGGTGGTGGATTTAGAAGAGGGGTGCGGGGAGGTGTGCTCCTCTCCTGGAAAGCTTCGGCTGGAGGCTTTGATATAGAGGGGGCCGATTTTCATACAAAAAACTCACACACCAAACAACTGAGCAAAGCAAATGTCATTAGTGTTTCATGGAGCACATTTCTTAAAAACTCCCAATCACAAAAAAAATAGAAAACAAATTTTAACAGACTCAAACTTGAGAAACCCTCCCCTCTCCCCTGACAAAACTATAGTGGATCCTACCCTGTTTAAAAACACTGCTATTAGAAATCGCGTATTATGCGTCCTGATTGGCCCTCGTTATCATACTAGAATACCAGACAGTTTTACAACGAACTGTCAGCAAAACAAACCATCATATATTGCTTTGTACTTTCAACTTGTGAACCGATAAGATATTATGTCAAATGGTGAATACCTTGTCCTCGAAAACTCCAAACTAATGACATTCAACGTTTTGTTCCGTCTGTGGCCCATGAAGTAAGCACTCCATTCTTTCATCGTCATCTTTAGATCTCCCTAAAAGGGATGCACGAGGAAAAAACCAGGCATTATATCAAGCAAAACGATACCCAAATTGATGCTGTTGGCTCAAAAAAGTCAACAACTTTGAGGTTGACGGAAAGCTTCAAATGATTGTGAAACAAATTGGAAAACCACAAAGTTTCGGTTATGAACATCACTGCTTGACGACAATTAATAGTCTAATTAGCAATGCGAGCATTGTCAACATCGAGTATCCGTATTATAAAAGAACGGCGTAAATCCAAGAAAAATCTAATTGTAATCCAATGCCAGACTTTGACCGTTTTGACATCGATCATGCGCGCTTGTCAAAGCTATTACCTGACTAATGACGTCAATAATGTCAAATACAAAGTCGCCACCTGAGAACAAAAAAGTTGCAATATGAACAAATCATCAAAATAAAAAACCCCAACAAGGTCGAGAAAGTGGGAAATAAATAAACGAGAATGCAATACGCACCAACATGATTCTGGACATCCAGAATCGAAAACGACGACTCTGGAACAAGCAGACCAAGTTCGCCTTTGGCTTCGACTAAAATTGGTTTCTTGAAGCCTTTCTTCGTGAAATAATCGGCCGTTAGCTCGGCCCCATTGCACTTCACAAGAATGGCATCCGGGCTGAAATAAATCACGCTCACAATAAAAAAGCAAGGAAATTCATTAAAGGCTAAAAATTCGATGATGACAACGGAAACACAATTCAATGAAGTCATGATATGCAAAGGTAACTGACCAAGTCGCCCGTCACTAATCTCAAGGAAACAGTTTGTGAGCTGTAGCGCGTGTTCGATGCTGAAATTGCCGGGTAGTAGCTAAATTCAATAGCAAAAGTAAAATTGCAATAACACGAACACAAAAAGAAGCGAAGTTGTGAATCAAAAAAGAAATATTCTGGTCATTTTCGTTGAATATTCCAATGTGAAGAGATGACAAACCATAAAGGCAACAAGTAACGACAGACCTGTATTATCTCCTCAAACTCTCTGAATTGTCGATGTATTGCAGTGGTTAAGGCTAAGGGTGCTTTTCGTTGTGGGGAGGGTGGGTTTGTGATTTAATGATCCCCATGCTGGCAACACTGATGAGATGTATAGTTGCCATGTGAGCATTGCATGTGAAGATCTTGTATGTAAATATTTTGATGATCGAGCACTTGGAGAGTAAATTAGATGAATTGGCAGAATTTATGAAAAGGCATCGGGGTGGGATGATTGGGTACCAGTAAAGGTAAATTCCTCCCTTTGGTTCCCCCTAGCCACGCCCATGGTAAAGGTCAATTCCTCCCTTTGGTTCCCCCTAGCTACGCCCATGAAAACACCAATTGCAAGCTTCTATCCTATTTATTTAAGATAACTCAATACAAAAGTGGTCCCTTCAGTGTGGTTTGAATGGTAATGAAAGCAGAATGAAACAAACCTAGAACTTAAATCAATGCTTCTTTCAGTTAATGCCTCATTTGTAGCAAATGCATGGCTCTCTGTCAAATGCAAACAAAAGCGATCTTAAGAAAGCAACATTTTTGACAACTTGGATGTCTTGATGGTTTAATGTAGTCCATCATTTCCTTCTTATCCCTTATAGTTTCTCGTGTCTTACCTAATGTCAAAAACATTGCTTGCTTAAGATTACTAAGAAACAACATTTCACTTTGACTTGAGAGCTTCTTGACTCAATAATCTAGGAGAATGATACCTAACTCACCTTGAAAATTGCTTGTTTTTCAACTGCTTTATAAACACAACAGTTCCTGCTTGAACCGCCTACAGCAGGTAACCAAGTAATTATAAGCAAACAGCAACAGTAAATGAATACATGACATTTTTGTAACACTGACTTACTTTGCTTTGGGCCTTGTTGTCGCTGGAGTCATGGCGATGAAAGTTCTCCTGTCTTTTCACTGATATAAAATAAAATACGAGAAAGTTTTGAGTTACCACAATATTCACTTGCTCAAATTATTTATTCACTAGTCTTTTATTAGGTTCCTGACACTGAGTGATGAAAGAGGATACACTCAAAATATATGTATACATCTAGGAAAGAATTGCAAATTAATGGCCATTAGTGCATTCTACATGTAATTCAAACATCAAAGATAGTGTTACAAAGATACAAAAGATCTCCTGTTTAATTTGTCACTGCACGCTGGCTACTCGTTTGTATGTAGTGGAAATATTTGGCCGTAAATCCAAAAAGGATATACTCTTTCGGATCGTTTATATTAAAGCAAACTAAAATGGGAAGTTAAGTGGATGTTTAAGGTGTTGAACGAAGAACGGTTAAGTGCGTTGACATTATACCTCAATAAACTGAAAATCCGAACCTCAGCACTTTGGGCAAAGTGAAAGTAAGATATGTCAACAGTTTAAGAAGATAACAGACAAACGTAATGTAAATAGACTACATCGGGGAAAGCAAAACGACCGAACTCGTTCAGATTGAGCAAGATTCCATTGAATAAATCTAAATAGCACCACAGAGCGGACGGTTTTGCTCACAACTCGCATAAAAATCAAACTGTCAGCAATTGCAATAATTTGCAAAAACACAATGACATTGCGCAGAGCTAAAACCGCGTCCCACGCTACAATAAAGAGCATGCGATCTGTTAAGAACAGAATCAAAGATAAAGAAGTATTTCAATTATGTTCTCACGTGTGAGAGGGCCATATTTCGGAGCACAACGCGGACAATGGTAACGTTCAATATCGTTCGCTTGGTACTCCTCGATTCCCACACAACTATAAAAGACAGAAAATCGCGACGAATGACCATAAGTCAACAGATCGGTAATTTAAAAGAGCGTCAGATAGAGTAATAAAGAATCCAACCTTCCGTGAAACCAATCATCGCAAGCATCACACTGGATCATAAATTGCATCTCGTCGTACGGTTGACGACAAATACAATACAAATCGGACGCCATTTTGAAACGTTAATTTATTCACTTCGAACGTTTCTTCTTTGTTTTGCAGCAGCACGTGCTCACGCAATAATGTACCATCCAACGCACGTGAAGTAAAAAACACGCGACGAGTGATATCAGGAAGTTTGCCAATGTTTAATGGACTAAACAGAGATCGCGAAGCAGGGCGAGCCAGGAAGGCATAGGGCATTGGGCAAGCAATTTATTGGGTAAAATTAAGTGTATCACAAAAAGAACGATTTGTCTTGGTTTTGCATGTTTTTGTGCTATTTTGCCCCTCCCCCCCTCACCTTTGGACCGTCTCCCCTTTCAATGCTTATACTACCAAAACGAAGCCTTCACTATTTTAATTCTTTGCAATGATACTTCTATCAAGTTTAGAGTACCTTTAGTAGTGAGTCAATCTGCTGGAAACTCTTTTCCTTCGAGGCGATTACCCTCCGATATAACTGCCGCTTATATTTGGATATAATTATACTTAGAAACGCATTAAAGGCAACGCAATTAGAAAAATTTTGTTCTTAAGCAGTTCATAATCAATATTTTTATCATGAAAATTTTTTGAATTGAAAATTGAGCAGCTGCTACTTATTCAGACTGTCCCCTGTGTCCACAACTGCTTTCTTACTCGTGTTAGTAATATTGGAAAACTCTAAACCACTATAGAGCTTCAGCTACGATGAGGATGACGAGCTTTTCCAAAAATGAGCATCATGGCTTACTGCACTAGCTCGTCTTGAATAAATGAGTGACTTCAGCAGTTTGGTCAGCAGTCATACAGGACATACAAAGCGAAACAACTAGAACAAGCTAAAAATTCTCGATGCGAGTTAGTTTGTTCTTTTACCCGATGCCTTATCGTCGTTCGAAATGATTTTGAGTAGCATCAGCTTTACGTGTAAGATTAAATGTATTTTTATTTTACGCCAATGTGATGTAAAAACTATAAAAGCTTTCTCTTACGCAGCCTAATGATTTTAGAAGTTCATACAGAAAGTTTCAAGATCAGCTCCTCTTGTTGAAATACATCTTTCATTACAAGTGACTTCATTGTATCATCCCCATTAAACGTCCATACTTTATTTTAATTGATCTAGAGGAACAGAAAACAAAGAAGTTCAAGCACATATGACGAAAAAATGTCGATGGTCGAAGAAACGCCACACCTGGCACTCATTTTTAACTTAAAGGTGTCTTCGATGTGGGCTCAACTGATCCAATGTCGTCGTCACTGAAATTGTCGAAGTTGTACTGATCCTACGAGAAGAAAAAACAAACATAAATAAAAATGCGAAATTGAGAAGACCAAAATAATAACAAAATAAAAATCTGATTCAACAACAAAAAGAAGGGGCGTAACGCTCCTGTAAAGACCATGCAAACAAAAGACTTAATAAACAAAGGGTCAAGCAACAACAAACACTAGCTAACAAGCTATACGGGAAATGAGAAACGTATGCAACAAATTCCACATTGTTGGATCAACAAAGATGAAACCAAATTTATTCAGAGAAAAATATTTGCTAGACATAAATGTATTCCAAACTATCAGGTTTGAAATTCGATAAAAGAAAAAATACATGATATTTCTTACCGAGTATTTTGAATCACCACCAAACTTGTTTTTTATATTGCTAAAGAAACCTTTGCCTTTTCTTCGTACACCTTTGAAATGAACCTAAGTCGCGTATGTAGAAATGACATGGTGTAAACAAACAACATTGATGAACGAACAAAGCTATACTTCAATTCGACATTTACTCTGCATCTTCTGGTAGTTAGATGGATCACTGAAAGATAATTCATAAAGAACCAGCAAGAGAATCAGTTTAGCGGACTGATAAGTTGTTTAAGCAATGAGTTTCCTTCAGTTCGGTTTTGAAAGGTGTTGTATAATATCAGTAGCTAGCTACGATGTAATGATTATAACTTCGCTCAGCATAGCACTAAAAGTTATAGTTATATGGTAAAAACGTAGTTTAAATTGAAGAGCTATTCTTGGGTTGCAAGCTACGTCATAGTCGCCATGTTGGATGATTTTAACAAAGAATTTTCCTTATTTATGTACACAGCAAATTTCATCCAACATGGCGAACGTTCCATTGTTCTCTTACTCCCAGGGAGATGGTTGCAACCCATCAATAGTTATCTGGTAAATAGTAAGGTTGAATTGAAGAGCTTTTCTCAGCTACAAAAATAAGACAAAAATACGCAATGAAACACAATCCTTACGTCTTCCTCGTCGTCCTCCTCATCTCCTACACATTGCGGTGCTCCAGGTAATTCTCCAGAAGCATCAGACGCATTCTGTATTAACTTATGATACTTGTACTCAAGTCTAAATCACAAAAAAAGAGGAGAATGAAATTGTTCATACAGTTATTTAGCTTTACCTTAGGTACATAGAGAAAGTTCCCGATCAGGGGCGATTTGATGATTTGCATTATAAATTTTAGATACTCAATCCTACCTAATTTTAACAAAACACAATAATAACAACTTTTTCATTAGCTGTGAATGTTAAAACAGCTAATAAATGTTACCAATCAAACTCTTTTCAAATTATATTCAAATGTATTTATGTACAAGAAGATTACTCTGTCTACTACACAAGGTAAAACAATATTTAGTTTAAGCACATTACCTTCTATTTTTACACCACAGAATCAAGATAGCAAGAATCATAAGAATTACAAAACCAGCAAAGCATGCCAGACCAATCTGTTAATAAAATAAAGATTATAATATATGATTTATTTAAAACTGCATTCCATTTATAGAGGAGCCTCGGTCAACAGTATACTATTCCCTATTGAAGGAAGGGGACCTTTAGAATTTTTTATCTGTAATTCTAAAAACGACTATTGACGAGACCTTTTATGTTCTTTAAGTTAAATATGCCGCTTAAGTTGCACTCAGCTAAGCATGCCTTTAGTGACATTGCCCAACTTGAGCACAAAAAATGTCATAGCAATAAGATTTTTTGACTAAGGATTCTGGTTTCTTGCTTAAGAATGATATGCAACAACGACAGCAAACTTTTCTTTCACGCACATTTTTTAGATGTTCGGTTCGATTTACCCAACCAGTTGCGTCGTATTGTAGAATTTTATATTTGATGGCAGATATTTTCTGATATTTTTCTTAATAAGATTTGCTTTGTGAAATGCTAATGGCATGAAATTTAGCTCATTTCATTTCTTGAAAAATTTCGAACCGAAACTTTTCAAAGGATATTTGAAATTTAAAGAAAATGTCTGTGTATCTTGAAGAGAAAAAGGAGATCTGCCGAGGTCTACTGTCGTTACCGAAGCAATGTTCAGAAAAACTATATGAAAATTTCTAAATTTTCATTTCATGAGCTGACTTTCTGTGAAACGTGTAACTTACCGCAAAATCTTTAACGGATCTTTCAAGAATACTGCACGTCGTTGTATTACGTTTCGGTAAAAATACTCCACCAACACAAACTCTAAAAAAGTGAGTTTTTCGATGATTTAAAGTTATTTAGAACTAAACGATTGATTACACGCCCCCCTCGTGAAAACATCAGCTTCGGTTTTTGGGATCAGAGTGTTAAAAGAAAGTTATTCTTTCTTTCTTTCTTTCTTTCTTTCTTTCTTTCTTTCTTTCTTTCTTTCTTTCCATCTATCTATCTATCTATCTATCTATCTATCTATCTATCTATCTATCTATGTATCTATGTATCTATCTATCTATCTATCTATCTATCTATCTATCTATCTATCTATCTATCTATCTATCTATCTATCTATCTATCTATCTATCTATCTATCTATCTATCTATCTATCTATCGATCTATCTATCTATCTATCTATCTATCTATCTATCTATCTATCTATCTATCTATCTATCTATCTATCTAGTAAATGTACAATCTTTTGCTTTGTATTTTTTATGTTGTGGCATCGGAGCTACTTACTTCGGTAATTTCCAAACAAATGTTGTGTTTTTCTTTCCTTTCTGTCAAAATGAATAGTTGCTTTTAACTAAACACCATACGAAAAGAAAGTCCCCCTCCTTGATAAACTATAATAAGGGCTGAATGAATGAATTCCCAACCGGTCTCTTAAATCCAAATTGCGAATGTACTGTTTTGATACGAGCATGATCTTTAAATTGCGTTACACAATGGCGATTATCAACAAGTAATGTTCCTTAATTATTGAGTGAAACTGATAATACCACTTCTAAATGATAATTTTCAAATTGAATATTTTGAATTAAAGGGACGATACGTCCTTTGGTCCGGCTTTGTCAAAGAACGAGTGACCTCATTCTTCACATGGCACTGATGGCAGTTAGAATATATCTCAGGCTTAGCTTCCTTTTTGCGTGGTAGTTACAAATGATACTCCCAGCGAAAGAAAGTGGAAGCACAAACAAACTCACCACACAACCAGTCATAACACTATAATAATCATCCTTGGTACAAAATGGACAGGCAAAGGCTGAGCGCATGATGACATGAAAACTAAAAATAAAAACCAAAACTGAGTCAACAAGCATGTCTGACGTGTGCCGGGGTTTACCAAATTTTACAAGGAAGCTGAATATGGAGCTCACAGACGATATAATCAATTGAAATGTCTACTGTTTCAGTGAGATGTCTGTATGAAGTAGAAAAAATTCTAACACAGTAACGACTTTTTTATAAGCTGTACAGCAAGACGCAGCAAAACCGGCAGAATAAGAATTTCCATCAAGCTTTCTTTCACGATATCTTCAGGATTATGATTAGCGGCGTGACGACCACGAGGAGTGTGTGTGGGAGAGTGTGTGATAACCCTCCAATAATCTCTAATTTAAAGTATCGAAATTCAAAACAATGAAAAACGTAAGTTTTTTGCTACAATTAATCTAATCTCAATTGGTATTAATCATTAATTTTTTCATTCCAAAGTCGTAATTGCAAGTAGTTTTTGGTTCTTTGTCTTTAAAAATTGGGAAAGAGTTGATCAATATTACTGAAACCAGTTGGCTATTTTCATGTCGAACCCCTTTGA